GTCCTTTCGTTTTTACCGGTAAAACATGACATTTTCATTTTTAAGCACGTTTCAGATTTGAAATTCATACTTCTCTGCTACAAACAATGCATTGTACCTTTGGATATACTGTTAGTACTGTAATACTACTGGAACACTAGTGACAATCACATGCCAGATGCACATCCAACGTGTGCACGATAACATTTCCTACTTTCACTACCCAACAGGAAAGGTTCGAAGATGTCATAGCCGAGCCTGAGGGTGCCCATAGCATTGAGTTCATTCCGGATGATTCAAGGTATTGTACAGAGTCAAGTTATTATAAAGATTGCACCAAAGACAAGGACAATATGTCCCATTGTCATACATTATAATTATGGAGGTGGAATGTGTGTGATTTGCGGTGAAGAACGGTTGGGTTTCGATACCACTATTGTAATAATCAGATGGGATGACAGACGATTGCTTCATAACATATGTAAATGTCATCTCGAAGAAGCAGGCTGGTCACAACGCAAGGGCCAAGAGTAATAATAATCAAATAAGTCTGTGACAGGAACACTGGATTAGCAGATCCTGACAAAAAGGAAAATGGACACAAAATTTGCAAAGAGAAATGTAGCGACGCTAATCTCTGGACGGCAGGTGTCCCCACACACTTTGGACAGAAAGAAATACGTGTGTAAGGCATCAAGCATTACATTCAAAAAACTCGACAGACTTAACGTTACCTGTTCATATTACATCTGTCTGAATTACTGTTACTCTACATCATGCAATCAAGCAATACAAATTCTCTCTAACCTTTGTTACAATAACAACACCAACAAATGATAGTGAAATCTGAGAAATAACAGAAATAGAGTAAATTATCAATCCGTACATTTGACTTCATATTATTTTCATAAAATGAATCTGTTATATTCGTATCAAATAGCTGGATATTTGTCAGATAGACTCGCCTTGCATTGTGCATGTTTTGTTCGAAATGATGTAGCCACCGTTTCATTACTTGAAGTTATGCAATATCAACAATCTATGCAATGTGTATTAAACGAAGTACTAGATTATAAATGTGCAACAACAATGGTTACTGGTGTCTTGCGACTTTGTCAACTGCCAAAATGATAGTGAATGCGTTCAGTTACAACTACGGGTATTCACAGAGGAAAGGCCACATTCAACCGTTTGTCAATCATCTAACTGTTAGGGCTGAGACGGGTGGGTAATGAGTTGGACCCGGGTAGATCTACCTGTCTCAATACCCGAACCTGTTTTGATCATGTGACTAATAGATTAAACAATGTCATATGTTATTCTTTTATGATTAAAAGGTTGTATTCAGAAGATTCAGACATTATTTACAGTCACCTGTTTTGAATATAATACATGGTTAAGATATTGAAAAAACTCGAAATTTTAGCCTCCGAGCTGAAGACTATATTGCCATTTTTTACAAATTTGATGTCAGGAATTAACATAACGGGTATCAGGGTAAGGTAGGGTAATAGAAGGTGGGGTACCCGGGTAGACAATTTGGAACCGTCCCAGTCCTACTAACTGTAGGTAGTGTGGCTTCAATTTTGCAGGACTTGTCCTTCTTGTGACAGAACCAGGATAGGTAAAACTATAAACAGGATAAATTGCTGATAATGTATGTAACACATTTGCTTGTTCTCTTTCACTGGGCTTGGTAGGCCATGGGCTCAAGTGACCGGTCGTAATTTCTTGTTTGTGTCTCTTTCAGTGACAAAGAGTTTTGTTAACGTAGCACAATTGATTGTCTATGGGTATTTATCACAATAAAGCGTTTCAAACATTAAACTTCTTTTTGATTGACTTGTGAAAATATGAATTGTAGTTTTGTTAATATACAATGTAAATAATGTAATAAATTGTAATATTTTGGGCAGTAATATTAATTTGAGAATCGTGAAATGTTTTATGCTTGATTTTATTAGAATGATAAGAAACGTTATGGAAAACAATTTCTTTTATTTATAATCTTTCCTCTTACCTATACATTTTGTCATTTTTGTACTCCCGAACTTCTAAAATACCACTCAAAGAAGTTATTTTGTTTCAAATTAGGAACCCGCCGGTGACCACAGCATCGACTGCTGCTGGCAGTGCACCAGCTAATGCGTCAACTGCTCCTTCAGCATCCTCTAAAAAATAGAAAGATGTCCAATACTTGCCTCAGCTGCAGACTGACACCCCTCTGCGGGTCCCGGGGAGTCTTTTCCAGCAGGATACAAATCGGTTATCTCCCATTTGACAGACACCCATTTGACAGACACCCAATTGACAGACACTGAACCAGAAGGTTAATTAGGGTAACACCTACGGGTATAATGGAACAGTCCACTGTCTAGTGAGTAGAGCAGGGTGAGCCTGAAACAGATTCGTTACTGACAAGTTTGATTGTGGGTAAATAGAACTTTGTTGTGATTAAATGATTTCTCTTCTCAAAATTGATTTTACTATCAATTACTATCGAATATAAAAACAGGTATGTCACTGAGAGGTTTGATTGTGTTTATTGATAGAAAAGTCCCCTCCCAATAATAGCATATGTACAACAGAAGTTAACTGAGAAAACGTTTTGTTGGAGAGATATAGATATGTACATATTTGAAAACATTCCCATTTGCAGTAAACGAGACATCTGCATTGCCATGTAAGATACGATTGATACCAATCAGTGTTCTAATTTCAACAATTCTTTCTAAAGATTGTAACACTTTATGTCTTTGAGTAGTATACAATGGACATTCAAGGAGGTAATGAAAAACATTCTTACATCAATGGCCACATTGACATGATGCATCATATTTTAAATATTTATTCTAAATAAATCGTAACTAAGTGCACTCGTCATATATCTTAATATTGTGTGCAAAATAACTTCTTTATTCCAAATGAATAATATTTAGGTTCACATTTATCTATATTTGATTTATACGATACAACATTGTCGCAATTTCTAATAGCTGAGCTAATGTTTTCAATATGATGATGCCGACTCCCCACAGACTAGAAGCTTAAACCGAAATGTTTATGAAAATAAATAACCTGTTTTTATATTGCAGCAATAAAAATTCAAATTACTGTCTTTTCGTCCATCTTTCAAAATAAATAATATAGCTTCAGTTTGTTCCTGTGTTTTATTTGGACTATTCCATTATAATGTGTAGGTAACAGGTAGGAGATAATCTGTTCACTGAACCGTAAATGTTGTTGTTTTAAGGTGTCTGCGAACTGGCTGTCTGCGTAATGGGAGGACACCTACAAGTCAACCAGTAACTCAGAGACAACCTTAATCTCTTTTGATAATTACGTTTTTACAATAAAATCATTATTGTTAGAATAATGTGGATGAACCTGACAGCCTTTCCTTTTCTGGTGATGTTTTGGATAAAATACCAAGTACACATATGTTTTGATATCAGGTACAATGTTATTAAGTTGAATATGAATCCTGCACAAGAAGCAAAGAACATGTGTTCGCATTTCTCCATTTTATACAGGAATTTGATCAAAATATACTATATGCACTTGAGTACAAAGCATCACCATTTAACTATGTATCAATAAACAGTCTTTTATACATTTGTTTGTTTGTTAATCGCTTTCTATAACACCACTTTCCACTCCCCAAAAATGGATGAATTGAACTGGAACTGTCTTGCAAGTGTAATTTTATATTGCAACATACTTTTGATAACCACCCCTAGTGCTATATATATGTCAGGTGATATTCCAAAAATATGCACTTAATGTTTAAATTGTCATCTGTACTGACTTCTACTGAAACATGTGAAGATACCGTTAGCTTGTAAAAACGTCTCATGTTCCAACACGTATGCAAAATGGAATATATTGTAGTGCAGGAGCAATGAACTGAGATTTGATTAAACTTTTTCATTACTTAGTGATATTTAGCATTAAAGGTATATGTGCATCACGTATCATCAAACCATTTTTTAAAATAAAAATTATATAATGAAGATAGCAATACAAAAATATGAAATGGACCAGAGCTTTCCTTCCGACAGTGTTTGAAAAATTATTTTGATTACGCAGTTTGATGTTCTACTGAAATAGTTTGTGGGAGACAAAAAGCGTTTATCTTGAATAATCCCAGCTGCCCATCCCCTACCCCGTCCCATCCTCCAAATGAACACAGACTTACACAGACACACACAGACGCGCGCACACACGCCCCTTCACGTATACACACAGATACACACAAACACACATCTCTCGCCCCCCTTCCCCCAGTGCGCACAAACGAAACTCAGACACACGCACACACGCACGCACGCGTATTCTAAATGGCCGATCTGTGGTGTCATAAAATAAAATAATATCACTATCAAGTCACATGATCTGGAGTCGTTTACAGTGAAATGTCGCTTCTGTTCTCTTAGGGTCTCCTTTCAAATAAAGTGACCCAAATATCAGAGTATTTTAATTTAGCACTCAGTTTTTAAGACCAACTCATATATAATATATGTCAAGAAATTCAAAGTGCGTGGACAGGCTCAACTGCAGCGAAAGCAAAGTGTCTTCTAATAGATTTGTTTGTTACTTTAGTGTTACCCTCGCAGCATGAAGGCCAGTTCTTGTCTTGCCTTATGCTATACAGCTTTACCTGGGCTGAATGATAAGAATGTGTCTTACAAAGTTTTACTGGCAGAAATTGTAGGCATCATTCAGAAAAGCACAAAGGAATCTTTTAGATTTATTCAAAGCCCAATTGACAATTCGCATAGCAAAGTGAATGCTTATTGTGAATCCGCGGCTACAACATATGCAACGTCGTTACTATGGGCACATTCATAAAGGTTTCATTGCTCGAAAAACATTCCTCATGACGGTTTCATGGTCTTGAACCACGTGTCTTCTTTACACCAATCGCAGAGTTTGGGAAGTGTATGGCCCTGTAACTATGTAAACATTAACATAATGGACACCATGACAAGCTTTGCGACACTCTGCTTCTAACAGCATTGGCAAAAAGACCTCCTGCCCAAAATCCAACTGCAGTCAAAATGGCTGAAATTGATCTGGAAAACCGTGATCCAAACAATATCAACGACCATTTGAAGGTAAACTAGTTGTGAGCGTAAAGTTTGGAAAACATTGGTTTTCACTTTGTATATGTGTCATTTGAGAGTAGAGCCCCCCAAAATAGAAAGGTTAACTTTGAAGTATGATCTGGTGGAGCTGAACATATTAAAGTTTTCAGAATTTAGATAATTCATTCTGGCAACATTAATGTGATCTAAATTCTTCTTTACTGTTTCTTCTTTACTCTTTCAACGAATGTATTAATGTGTGTGTAAGTGGGTTACATCAGCATGATGATTCCTGTGTGCCGTTCCAATAATCGATCTTAACTAAGATCAATCAATTTTACAATCGTTTTAGCTGAAAGTTACGCCCGTTCCACTAACCGATCTTAGGTCCCCATCTTTCGATCCGATCCTAGTTCAGATCGAGGCTCTTTCATGCGCGGAATAAAAATGTGAGGCACGAGTTATGTCCCTTTGATTAGTCTCGCAGACGATGGAAGTAGTTTTGGAACAAAGCGTAAACGTGGAGAAGAAACCTCGCGCGAGAAAGAGCACTTTTTCTCCTGAGGAAATATCAATTCTGGTTGACAAAGGGGTCCACTATCACTCCCTTTTGTCTGCTTCTTTCTGTACCTCGCCACAAGCACATCATCTGATAATGTATCAAGAATCTGTGAGCGGTCTCGAAAAACATGCTCACAGTGTAATGCTCGCTCTTCTTCTTCACATAGAATAATGAAAGCCACCATTTTGCTTTCTCTACGAATGATTTAAGCGATCCTAAGTTGGTCATGAGCAGCATAGACTTTGGATCTTAACTTAACGGTTGACTTGGGTAAGATCGGTTAGTGGAACGGTATGCCGATCGTAACGTCACGCTAAGGTTGCGATTTAGGGGTTTTATGATTGGCGTAGGGCTAAGATCGGTTAGTGAATGGCACCCTGGACGTAACACAAGATTTATTCCTATGAGCAAAGGATCGATATGGTGATAACAAACCTAGAAAAATAATCAGATCGAACACGATCATAGGTTTCAACCGCACCTCACACATGGGATTGGTGCGCCTTAGATGCTTATTATTATGCTGAATTAATAATAACAAAGTAGGGTCATTGACAGGTCATCGTATTACAGTTGTTTAAATCAATGCTCATGCTGTTGATCACTGAATTATCTGGTCCAGATTCGATTATTTACAGACCACGGCATAAAGCTGGTATATTGCTAAACAAAAAGCAAACAAACAAACGATATGTAAAAATATACGCAATGAATGATAATATAAGCAACCTTTATAGAGTTTACAGATTTAACATGTAACTTCCAGGCCACTCAAACATCATCTCGGGCCTAGTGTCAACACTTTGTGTTTTCATTTTCATCGACAAAACATTTAAGTACGTTTTGTACCTGATTAGGGATATTAATATTTCTTGGCTATAATGGAAGTACCGCCCATTAAAGCACTATATCGTTCATATATCCTGTCAATGAGTTTTAGCCATTTACTGAAACATGATTGAAATTGAGATGCTCATCCAATGTAATCCAGCTGACGTTCTTGTTTTCCACAGGTCCAGTTTGAGGATGTCTTGGCTGAGCCCGAAGGTGCCCACAGCATTGACTGCTGTTGGAAGTTTACCAACACCTGCTTCAACTGCGCCTTCAAATGCTGCTACATGCTGTTGACCCTGTGTGGACCTCTGTACGGTCTCTACTACGGTTGGAGTTACGCCATGCTTGCCTGTGCTCACATCTGGGAATACACCCCCCAGATCAGAGCCTGCGAGATCAACTGCATCATGATGAGGAAAGTGTACACCATCTGCCTCAACTGCTGCCTGACGCCATGTTGCGAGTCCTGTGGTGCCATCTTCAGTAGGATCCAAGTAAAGAAGTAATGGAAAATTGATCGGGACAGTACTGAGAGAAACTTCCTGACCTGAACTTCACATGTTTTTACACTGACAACTAACATTTGCATGGTAATGACGTGTCCCATGAAGCATTTCGCGACGTGTGGTGCTGTAACTCGATGGGGTCAGTTAACCTTTCTTGTCTGGCTGCATGTTCCGTACTTTCGTATCGGACTTAGGACTCTTAAGGACTTTCGGATGCCGAGGTTAACCTTGTTCCTTCGGATCTCTGTGTACAAGGAACTTGATTTCGACATACTTTCGTTACCAGGGTAACGATTTCGTGAATTGTACACATTGCTATTCTTTGAACTTCTGTCATAATAAAAGTGTCTGTTGTATGACAATTTGTTTGTTTTAACTTGTTACAATTTTTAGAGCTTGGAAACCATCGTCATGTTTGATACAGGTCAGTGACTGAAACTCCTTGTGCTTTTAACAACACACAATATCAGGAATGGTAGCGTTTTCTGGGTTAAGTCACACAATGTAACAGACAATAAAAATATAACCACATAGGATAGGACAGGATGTAAATGGGATCAACGTGGATCCTCTTTGTTCTGTTTTTGGTATCCCAGTGATGCGAGGCGCTGCAGTCCGCTTTATGCGTATCAGAACCCATGGTCCGTGGGTTTGAATCCCGATTTCCCCGATTGTGATCACACATTTATCAGCATCAAATTAGTGTTTGCTGTTGCTAAAGTATTCGATTTTCCCATTCATCTTGATAATGAGTGTTAGCATATGGAGCCCATGTCAGTAGATCAATGTCAGAGCCCATGTCAAGAAATCTATGCACACCATTCCAAGAAAGATGGTCTAAGATACACTAACTCACTAACTCACAGTCACTTCGCCAGTTTCTCCGTCACTCACTCACATATCCGGAAGCGTATTCCTCAGAGAGATTATCACGTTTGCGTGATTTGGGAAGGTAAATATCCTACTGAAGGAATAAACATTACATATATACTTCCCATCAAAGGTTTGGACTCACTTGAAGATCTCACTATATGTTATGTATATATATGTGGTTACATAGAAGATGAATTTCTCCACTATCTTGGGGGAACCAACTGAAAACCTTATACAGATGAATTGCACGAGGATCATGCATCAAATTGCTGAAAAACATGTGCAAATATCGTGCATGTGAACAGCTGCGTTTTGGTGTAAAGTTTTGTTAAGAATTCTCCAATCTTCAATGAGTTTCATCATTTATTGAACTCATGACAAAAATCTTTTCAACATTACGAATTTGTTTTACAATACATCAGTTCATGTGTAAGCAGTACCTTTAAACAGTATGGCATATTTTGTAAATTCTAGTTTAGAACAGTTGACTGAAGTAAGTGGCTACATTTACACTAGTAAGTCTAAACTTTTGATGGGTAGTATATACAGAGAGAGACTTGCATTTGTCTGATATTGGATATTTACTTTCCAAACACATAAGCGTGATGACCACTTTATTATATTCTGACATTCTTAAATAACACCCCTTAAACACCGCATTCACATCACAATTCCAGTCAGCGATCCTTCGGACACGAGTTCCAGCTAAAAACCAGGGTATTTTATACAGTGACATAAATGCACAATATGCAAAATAGGCACAATAACATTTACCTACATTGGCTATATGTACTTACTTATCAAGCTATCGGTCCTCCAACTAGAGTATCTACTACTCAGACTGTGAGACGTCACGTATGTGTATGGTCTGTCTGGCCTGTCAAAAGGTCACCGAATGCAGTCAGATGTCCCGCAATCATAGAATGAAGTCAGGAAACAACTCTGAAATATTTCGGCCAGGTTTAGGGAAAGGCCCCAAACTGCAGAGGCCAACACACGCAGACATGAGACTTGGAGACATGCAGACAGCTGTTTCTCAGTTTATGTTGCAGGGGTGAGTGAATAATAATGACGAGCTGTGGGTGTGTTTGTGAGGTGACGTTTATTCCAACATCATATATATATATATTGATCAATTATTCAATTGATCGGTCAATCACTCTGTAAAATACGAAAGAATGGTATACATTAACCTAAACATGCAAAATGTACAGCTACACATAACTAGTTCATAATAAGTTATCATTATTACTGCTAATATATAAAACTACATAATGGTTGTAATTTAACATGCAAATGATCAACTTAAATGATCATAGAGGTGATATTTTAATCACATATAGATAATTACATACATGATAGAAAATAATGTGTACATACCCTGTGGGTGACACCGGGATGTGTATATATACCCACACTAGTTTTCTGGATTATTACATTTCTAAAACAAATAATAAGTACAATATTTTACTATGGCGACATTAATAATGTAGAAAGCCGACTTCTTGTTCATGCTCTCACACATTCATACATTTAGGTATATTGACTACTTGATGTAAAATATTAATATTTACATTACTTCATATTATTTATAACATATTTAATTGATAGGTTGAGATTCTATTTAGGTTAATATAAAGTAAATGTCTAACCTGAGCTGGGCTGAGTGGCTCGTCCAGTGCAGAGTTGTTAGCAGTGTGACTAGATAATGTGCAAATGCTATGAAGGAAGGCTGTAGTTATATAATGTGAATCAAATTGGAAGCTGGGGGCTATTGCATTGAAAGCTAGACTGTTGAGGCAGGAATAACATACTCTGTCCACCCTAAACAGACGAACTGCTTTGAATCCAAGCACCTGCAACTAATGAACACAAAACAACTTGAAATGGTAAATCTAAAACCTTTTTGCTTAAACTATAAACACAATATCCTGTTAAATTTATATTAAACAATTGCTGAAAAATGTATAATGCCCCCAGCTACGTTGCCGTGGAACATTCTTTTTCAGTATCAGAGACTATGTTTTTATTCTGATAATGCTATATTCAATACATGTCCAAATGGTCAGCTTGGCACAAATAACCATAGGAGGTGTTATGTGTCGCCCTAGTACCGTGTCTGACCTCCATTGGTTTGAATACAGGCAAACACTCTCCTACGCACTGAATTCGTCAGTCGCCTGATGACTTCACGTGGGATGCGTTGCCATTCTTCACGGAGGGCCGCAGTGAATTCATCCCGGGTGTGGGGAGGTTGTTCTTGCCGTCGAATTTTCTGTCCATGACATCCCAAAGGTTTTCTATGGGATTAAGGTCTTGAGAGCGAGCTTGCCAGGGCAACACATTGGCGTTGTTGACGCTAATGGAGTTTTGCACGACGTTAGCAGCATGGAGCCTGGCATTGTCGTGTTGGAACATGATACCCTGTGGCTATTGACGAAGGAATGGAAGCACGACAGGGCGTAGGACCTCGTCTCTGTAGCGTACGGTATTCAAGTTACCATCAATGATGACTAATGGCGTCCTTTCGTCACCACAAATGCCTCCCCACACAATGGCACTCCTACCCCCCAAAAGGTAGGACCTCGTTGATGTTCTAATGTGGTCTTGCTCTAATTGTTGTGTGTGGTAGTGCACAGACCCATATCCGTTGAAGTTAAGCAGCGTTTGCCACGGAGAGTCTTTGGGTAACCGTATTTGGCAGCTTTACCTCTGAAAGTTTCAAGGACTTCAGTCCTGCCCCCAACGAAGCACACGTGGTCTCACCTTAGGCAAGTGATTTTTGCTTCAAAATGAATGGATATCCCAAAATGAGTGGAATAAGTCATACAACTATTAACCTTTTGGCGTCTCACAGGCTTCTTGGGTTAATCGAAGCTATTACTGAAATAGCTGGTTTGAGAAATAAGCGTTTATCGTTAATGATCCCGGGAGAGCTTATCCCCAATCATCTCTCATCCTCCAAATGAAGGCACTCAGACATGCACACTCACAAACACGCGCACCCCCTCTCACGTCCACACGCAAAGTATTGAATGGTCGGTCTGAGACGTCATAAAACCCTCTTATTATCCAGTCACTTGATCACCACGAGTTATTTACAGTGAAATGTCGCTTTAGAATCTATTCTCTCTAAAATTGTTTCGACATATTTCCAGATTTAAAATTTGAAAAAAGGAGAAAATACAATTCTGTAATATCTAATAAATGAAATGTTGTATAACAGTACATCCCGCAGGCTGTGGAAAGTATCTCTCCCGTTTATTTATCCTGCTGAAACGATAGTTAACATTCGGAATCAGTCGTATAACCCCGTAAATGTTCGGAATGCTAAGTGCTGATCTGCTCAGAACACACAATCGTACTCCACTTTCGCGACGGTCTGATAGGCCGAATGAAAAGTCGTTATGGCGTGACCTGTACTCGGATGTCCTCAGATCTTTGTCAAGTGGCAGCGACAACTAAAATCTAATTCAACTGAGACTAATTTTCAATCCCATTATATACCCAATACAACAGATCGATAACCATTCCGCATTGCAACAGTGAAGCAACCTTATACAAACTAGTATTAAGCTGATGTATACCTTTGTTAACAGGTGAGTCAGTAATAATAGTCAAATTAATTATCCATCCATAACGAAATCCATTCTACAAGCGCTCTTCTGTCACTGAATTATTAAAACTCTGTAATAAACACCATTGACGGCTCTGCCACTCTATGTCACAATTCCTGTGCTTAACTGTTGTACAAATAGCTGATTATAATAATATATCAACATATAAAAGTGTTCTGGGCCATGTCTACAAACAGCATACCTTCCAGTGTGCATGGCACCCGTCGTATCCAATCCATCAACGTGGTTAAGTCATGCATACATAGTAGGTTTAATTTGAAGCTTAACATCAAAACTCAGTGGACGAGAAACTGAAAGCAATTATAATTTTTGTGAAAGGCAAGTGAAGTGAATCGTCACGTTGCAGACAATAAGTGAAGCCAATTAACATTGACTACAACGACAGATCTCTATCTCCCGCCCCTCCCTATATATATATATAACATACCTATACATGTACGTTTACAAATAATGTCCCCAGGCAAGCGTGTCACGTGACTGCATCTGACAAATAGCAAAGAGGTATCAACGATCAATCAATAAAAACTGTCCTGTTTCTAGGGAAGTGTACGATTAGATAACTCCGTAAACGTAAACATACCCATCATGTGATACAACCACTGCGGCTTCTGATGTGCAAAGGCTGGTTGACAGTGTCGGGACAAGAAGCTCCGGAGTATCGATCTTTACGTTAAGATTTCAGCTGCCAAAATGGGTGAGATTGATCTGCAAAACCGAGATCCCAACAACATCAACGACCATTTGAAGGTGAGTTATACTACATTTTATTGCATTTTAATAACAAATGAATATGGAAAGAACAAAACACCAACAACCGTGAAGACTAGCCATCACACATGAAAATGTGAAGATCTTGTATTGAGTGAGTTTAGTTTTACGCCGCGCTCAGTAATATTCCAGCTATATGGCGGCATTCTGTAAACAATCGAGTCTGGACCAGACAATCAAGTGATCAACAGCGTGAGCATCGATCTACGCATTTGTGATACAATAACATATGTTAACCGTTAGTCGCCTCTTACGACAAGCAAGGGTTAATGAAGAAAAATTCTAACCCGGATCTTCACGGGTTGTGAAGATCTTGTAATGGACAAGTAGATATGATAACCTCGGATAAATAAAGGAATAGCTTTAGCTCACTTACAACTGATACCAATAAATGACACAAATGATTCCTTTTGAGATTCTAATCGTACATACAAGTAGGAAGCCTGTGAAGATGGCATGGTATCAATACGATCAAGTCGTAATTTTGACAGCAATCAAAGCGTGCATGGTTCGCCGTTTTTGTGTTCCGGCTGACTATTGATGGGTGCTATTAACTCTTCACACTTGATGGTTCCGACATGCACAACAATTTTGTTGTTTACATGACTACCAAACACTAAGTATGTCACAAGCCCTAGTAGTCATTGGAACAATGAAAGTTGTGTCATCGGTTCGTTTAAATCTATAAAAGCCACATCCATAACAAATCTCGGTTAAATGCACGCTATATTATGAGCGTGTGTTTGTTTGTTTGCGTGTTTGTTTGTTTCTATGTGTAACCTAACACTCAGCGTCATTACAGCGTTGCGATTGTGGTCTGTAAAAATAGAATATCGACCTGACAATTCAGTGATTGACATCAAAATGTTTAGGATGACAGAACATGAATCACTATGAGTGGTGATGATACCCAGGTGTTGAAGTTGAACCTTTCCTGCTCCGCTGGGGGCACTCTTCATAAAATTATGCTAAGGCTGATCAATTGTTCACCTGAAAAAAAATCGTAATGTCAAAATAGGGTTTGGCATCAACGTTTGTAATCTCCTCCACATTAAACCATTTTGAAAGCTCCACTGAAGCCTTGAGGTTTGTGAACTTGATCGATCAACATGAATCGTATGACGCTCTTTGAAATCCTGGTAGATAGAGCATGCTCGACTGTACCTCATAAGTAGTGAAATGTAAACACCAAAGGCTGGAGTTGGTGGAATATTGATCGATATGAGGGATGAGTTGACAACTGGAAAGTTTGAATAATCCCTTTTTGTCATACAGCCACGTTAAGAGTTTTTTTGTCCCTCTGAATCTTTATGCTTAACTCTAAACATGAGGAGGTTGCTATATTCAAGCTCAGGTGGGTAAATCAGTGGAAGGGAACTCGCTATTTGATTGTTAATGATGATAATATTAGATCATTCACATAAATGAAACTTAAGTTAAACTCCTTGGCCGAATTACCTTGGGGATTATCACATCAACACTGAACCAAATATTAAGGTCAAACAATATGCCCGGCTGTATTTGTCAATCATCTGAATTCTCAATCGTTTTGAAAACAATGTGTACAATCAATAAATACTACACGTTCAGAGACTTTGGTACTAATATCTCCACGTTCAGTAGTTCAAGACATGGGATTATCATTTTAATCGGGTGTCTCCTCTCTGGCAAGTCAACCTAGTACACAGCAAACGTTAATACAGACAACCCGTGAATACCCGGGGTAGAATTGGTCTTCAGGAACCCATGCTTGTCGTGAGAGGGTACTATTTGGAACGAGTGGTCTGGCTTGCTGTCTTGGTTGACACATGTCATCGTATCCCAATTGCGTAGACCGATGCTCACACTGTTGATCACTGGATTGTCTGCTCCAGACTCGATTATTTACAGACCGCCGCCTTATATGTGGAATATTGCTGTGTGTGGCGTTAAACAACAAACAAATCAACAAACGTATATTGCAGAACATGATTGTTAACAAAAGCATCAGTTAGCTACGTCTTCCAGGACTGCTGTGCAGATTGTCAAGGGATTCTATGTTTATATTGTCATATCTGTAGGATAACAACGACGTGACCAAGTCATTACATATTTTAGGTCAGTATACGCCTCACTTAATTCAAAACATTGAAATATTTACATTTGTATATGTGTTTATGAGCTAGTGTCATCACTGACTTTCAAGTGTCCATTCATATGATTTAACAGCTCTTTGGGGTTTCTGAGGAAGTCAAAACTTATTATTCTTTTGAACTGGCGTTTTATATTCATATCCATTACACAAATTGAATGTCAAAGAATGCCTCCCCATAGCTTTGGTTCTGATATACAGCCAAATTCAAAACCCATGAAGATCCGGGTTAGAATTAATCTTCAGTAACCCATGCTTGTCGTAAGAGGCGACAAACGGGATCGGGTTCAGGTTCGACGACTTGGTATCCCAGTTGCGTAGATCGATGCATCTTACTGTTAGTCCCTGGATTTTCTGGTGCAGACTCGATTATTTACATACCGCCGCCATATAGCTGGACTATTGCTAACTTTCACTTGGCACAGATTACTTTATAAGTATTTTTAACTTACACAACTCTGTTTATCCTTTCAAATAAAAAATAGTATTCGCACCATTTCCTGTTTGATTGACCTGATTGGAACTATTCACATGTCTATTAAGTAAAACTCATACTGCATGTAGTTTAAGAGTCAGATTTTCAAGTCACACAGCTGCTGCCATGGGCATAGCGATATAACCATTTAACTCTTTGATATGTGATTTTGTGTGTGTATTAGAACTAGTTGAAGTGTTGCATGTATTGCAATATTATGGAACACAAACCGCGAGCTTTTCTCCAGTTCTAATCTCGGCCTATTTTCAAACTAAACTGCTTTACATCTGACAGGTCCAGTTTGAGGATGTCTTGGCTGAACCCGAAGGTGCCCACAGCATTGACTGTTGCTGGAAGTGCACCAACACATGCTTCAACTGTGCCTTCAAATGCTGCTACATGCTGATGACCCTGTGTGGACCTATTTACGGCTTGTGCTATGGTTGGCAGTTCGCCATGCTTGCCTGTGCTCACATCTGGGAATACACCCCCCAGATCAGAGCCTGCGCGATCAACTGCGTCATGATGAGGAAAGTGTACAGTCTCTGCCTCAACTGCTGCCTGACGCCATGTTGCGAGTCTTGTGGTGCCTTCTTTAGCAGGATTCAAGTCAAACAATAACACGAAATGTGTGCAACTGTCCTAACACTCTAATGCTGGAATACTTTTGTAGGTTCATCTTTTACCATGTAATTTGTAAAAGACTTAAAGGAACCACTTACTATATTCACACATTTAGGTAAAAGAGGAAAATGCCACGGGATACACTGACTTTGCTGAAACATTAATTCTTCGAAATGGTTTACTTACTGTCACACTTAATTTTCCATTTTGGTGGAATGCTGCTGAAAATCAAGTTCCATGATTTTTGTATGTTATCTTTGCGTCTACACAACGCAGTGTAAAAATACACGACAGGCCTTGACACTCACGCTCAGCCTGGTTCCCTGGGTCCGTTGCGCCTGCGCTACGCTCCGACACTGACCCAGGCAACCACTGCCGAATGGCGGCCTTCACTGCAGGGAGACGCGCCATACATTTACTATAGGAAAATCCGAGAACGGGTGGTTAGAATTTTTTCATAGCATTTTCATCGATACTATGGGAAAATAAACGTCACCAGAACAACGGCCATCGTTACTTTCAGTGTACAAACACGTTATTTAAGCAGTTTCGAGACACGAAAATCGTCGTTACATTGGCGATATGTAAACAATGACACACACCCTATTTTCATCACCGACATGTGCTTTGATATTTCGTGTCAGCTCGCTATTGCCACGAAATCGTACATATAAAACATGAATCTGAACGACCACATTGATTGAATATAGTTAGCATCTTTATTTTAGCAAATGTGATCACGTGTAATTCGATGATTTGGCCCCCATTTCTCCTGTTTTGTGTGTTGGAAATAAACTGAACGCCCAGTAATAGTAACCAGAAAATGGTTGTTACCACATTATATAATTAATAATAATTATTTCTAATATATTTAAAACACATACATGATTCATTCAACAATGTTTTTTTTAACAATGTATGTGCTTTCAAAAATGAAATAATGATAGAAGAATATGGCCTATTTATTATTTGTATTCATTTGGAATAAATCATTTCAATATAACATTGGGCTGATCACGGTGATGCAATAGGCATTGATCTTAAAAAGTTTAACAATAGTCATAGTATGGCAACATCTGCGTGATTCTACTGGGAAATCGATTACACATCGGACCATTATATGTAACATTCCCCACCCCATATATAGGTACAGTTTTGTACATAATAGGAAAACGGACACATTATGAAATATTCATAACTGTGTGTGTTTTAGCTTGTTTTGAAAGAGCCCACTCATAAAAAGGAACGTGCGCATTGACTAAAACACACTGATACACAACACTTCCAGGTGGGGCTCATGTTTGTTAAAGACATGTTTAGTAAAAAACAGCTATTAATATTTCATAATATGTCCATTTCATGTTACAAAAAAAAACACTGTAGCGATATCTGGGGTTGGAGAGGGGTGGGGAATGGGGTACATTCAGTTTTGAAACCTGTTGGTATTAAAATCCCAATAAACAGACAGTTTAATACAGACTATCTTTGATTGCATGAAACACGCATGCCAATGAAGCCATTCTATTACAATTCCCTTAGCTGTTTAATATAAATATACACATGAGTTATACACAACATCAAAGTTGTCTTGTCTGTCTGTCGAAGATTTCAGATGAAAGAATTTCGATAAAAGATGTTGGTTGGTTTGTTGTTTAAGGCTGCACTCGGTTCTATTCCAGTCTGGACCAGGCAATCCAGAGATCAACAGCATGATCATCGATCCGATAAAAAATGTTACAGTGTGTTACAGACTTTATATATATAATTGTTTAAGACACATACATAATTCTTATGGCTGAGTAGTGAGTGAGTATGTATGGTTTTACGCCGCTTTTATCAATATTCCACCAATATCATGGCGGGGGACACTAGAAATGGGCTTCACACATTGTACCCATATGGGGAATCGAACCCGGGTCTTCGGTGTGACGAGCGAACGCTGTAACCACTGGGCTACCCCACCGCCCCTATGGCTGAATAATGCTCACATACAATCAATACATGCATATGAAGCTCATCTTCAACAAAAGATCTTCCCCTTAATATACAATATTTACAGTCATTCAGTGTATGGGGCATTTGTGTGGTCTTAGGTTACAGGGATAGGGAGTGTAAAATTCATTTCAACGTTTAACAGTGATTTAAAATACACTGATAAACTGTTGATAGAGCTACACCCTGATTGTTGTAGGTTGTCAAGTGATCTTCACATCTTGTGCCAACCGCACATATTCAAATCAGAATATTCTAAATATGAATGAGTCTAAACAGAATATTTTTAGTATTAGGAGGCCATGTGGTACGGCATTTGCAAGGCAGTTTGCGTTCATCCAAATACAGTAGCCTGCACCAATACCTTATAGGGCTTGTGGTGTGTAAAAGTTGGACAGGGGTTCTGCCACATTCTCCCCAAACCATAGCATTGTTTGCTGTTTTGAAAAACCGTTTACACATTTTATGCTGTACGTCTTCAATATTTTTACAATATGAGGTCCCCTATACTTCTGCACCATTACACACTATAGGAACAATCATAACATTAAATATCATAATTAATCTTGACATGGTTTATTTTCAACTTTCTTTTGACATCTGTGCAATGCCATAACAGCCTTTTTACTCTGTTCACCAAGAGTAGTTAGTGCTTTAGTCCAAAAAAGTTTACAATATTGATTTAAAAAAAACCCTAACTCATTGTTTTGAGCTCTATATGTGTGTGTATTTTTGTATATAGATCATTTGATTCACCATGTTTAATATAATCATAAACATTTCTGAATGATATTGGTATATTTGTTAACTGTTTCATGTTGTTTTGTAGAGGCTAAATATCAGAATGACAAACCCTGTCATTAACATCATCCATCCTAAACACTTTACCTTGTAATTTCACAAGGCGATCGAAAAATATATCTACCTAACCAACCCTGAAACGATGGAAGACACGGGACATAATCGGCGATATTTTAGTCATCAAATTTGCTAAAATAAAGATGCTAACTTTATTCAATCAATGTGGTCGTTCAGATTCATGTTTTATATGTACGATTTCGTGGCAATAGCGAGCTGACACGAAATATCAAAGCACATGTCGGTGATGAAAATAGGGTGTGTGTCATTGTTTACATATCGCCAATGTAACGACGATTTTCGTGTCTCGAAACTGCTTAAATAACGTGTTTGTACACTGAAAGTAACGATGGCCGTTGTTCTGGTGACGTTTATTTTCCCATAGTATCGATGAAAATGCTATGAAAAATTCTAACCACCCGTTCTCGGATTTTCCTGTAGTAAATGTATGGCGCGTCTCTCTGCAGCGAAGGCCGCCATTCGGCAGTGGTTGCCTGGGTCAGTGTCGGAGCGTAGCGCAGGCGCAACGGACCCAGGGAACCAGGCTGACTCACGCTCATCATGACTGTGATCAACTAACAGTATTTACAACAGAATCTATATGTAATAATGACAATAAACATGGTGTACAGTTCTAATACCTTCATGAAATAATAACTTGTTTTGTCATTATGAGATATTAGGTTTAGACCACGGCAAATCAGATGTCCACCCAGCAGAAAAAAATGGGTACCAGGTGGGATAAGTTATGTGACTATTAACTTTCTCGCGCCTCACAGGCAGCTTGGGTTATCCCAGGTCATAATATTCAGATTGTTGGCGCTTTGAGCACACTTTGGTTTAGAGTTTAGCGCAATATAAGAAATCCATATTATTATTATTGTTATATCGGTTAATGTGGTAGTCAGCAGTGGATTCACCATTTGTTACTGTCCACCCATGTCAAGATAGACCATTAATATTGTTCCGCATGATGATCGATACACATTTGAACAACCACTGGACATATTCCTCTGTGATAACGCTGGTGGATATATATATTGTTATACACATCGGAAATTGGACAGCAATGAGAATTCATGATCCATGAACGTTAAGTTTGTGTGAATGAGTTAAATTTCAAGATTTGTTTTAGACGTATTTTAACGTACGCTAGTACCTTTGTACAAATTAGAAATATCCTGTCGACAAAGGGCAGCTATACAATCAGTTGCAGTATATCACGGATGTGCTTAAAAGAAGTGAGAGAAAGAGTAACAAATAAACAGCAGGTTACAGAAGGCTAGCAACGAAAGACAGGCCATCTTATTCGGGACCACGGTACCATTGCTACCTACACTGTACCTCACCAGGACTTATACCATCCCTTACAGGCAGAAATGTAAGACCGATACAACGATTGAAAATCTGGTAGTAAAAGGTACTTTTAGTCTAGTTTATCGTCAACAGTAAAACTTCGATAGAGCCGATCTCGCCAAGTAGGAAACCATTCTGTAAGGTAAGGTCAATATGTAAGGTAATTATAAGGCAGTATATTGGACAATTTGGACAATTCCGTTTAATTGGACAATTCAGATTGAAACGTTACCTTCGGGGTTAACGGGTTTTGAATGTACCTATCCAAATGGTTGGTCGTTGGTCATTTCTTTACTCACGGTAATTTACCCAGTTACTGGCTTACTCCAGACCAGATACCTGCAGAAAATACTATACAACCATATTTAGGTACCTAAAATCGGGTTAGATGTGAAAGCAACAGCGATATGTAGAGAATCGGAAACACTGCTGCTGTTTGAGGTGGGCAAAGCATTATGCATCTCCTACACAAACCTGGCTTGGTTTACTTATGTCTGGCTTAGTAAGACATGCACACATGCATCTGGCGCAGCGAGCTCATCCACACATCAAGTACATTAACGTCAGCTTAACTGACACGTCGTATGTACTTGATGACCTCACGTCTGATACCCACTCGGGGGAACAGTCATAGAAATCATCCTCTCTCTTCACGTTCAACTGCACCACAGCCAGCCCTTTTCTTAAAGGCATATGTGCTTTGGTATCGAAACTGACAACTTGGACTCTACACCGTGTATTCAAAGCCACCGTAGATTCAGTGTCTCCTATTCACTTAAACAGCACTACAGTGGTGACAGTGAATGATTTGTGCCAGAGTAAGAAATCGTTACATGGTCGTCAAGGGTACACTAACAAACATGGCAATGCAGAGGAAGGCGACACAATGAAGTCACTTGTGTATGTTGGTCTTACTCTGTGGATCTGACGTTTTCGCCTAAAACAAATCACATGGTTCCATCCGTCCAATAGAAAACCGTTTCGTTTTGTACGCACGTGCACCGGTTGGTATCCAAACGATCGATGGAATTATAACCCTATGACGAGTTTCCTGCTTTGAAACAGCATATCCAAGCGGGAAAACAACCCTGTTACTATGTAAACATATACTTAATAAAGGACAGAGAGACTAACCGCCACATTGTCTGAAAGAGCATCTTGACCAGCATCGAAACTCGCTGCGCCAATTTAGCCTGGTATTTGTGCAAGAATGGCCGAGATTGATATGGACAACCGGGATCCAAATAACATCAATGACCATTTAAAGGTAAGAAAAAACACATTATCTTCAGTTGAAAATTAAAACTTTGACTTCATAATCGAGGAGTGGTGGTAATAATGATAGTCCTAACATAATCGGTTACTGGCAGAATACAAATTCAGATGATGAGAAAATCGCCACGATAAAAAGATATAAAGAACACATGGAAGAACACATTGTTTCCTTTGCATCAAACTTCAGAGAAAAGGTTTTCGATTGGGAATATAAATTTACAATGAATGTTCATTGTGGTTTTTGAATGTATCAAATTCTGTTGAAAAATAAGTGAAGAAAGTGTCATTGTTGAATTAATAAATATTCAAAACAAAATTTAATCTGCATCTTTCTCATCTCTTGAAAATGGGGAAAAATCATCGATCATTCTCTGTTCCCACACCCGAAGACCATCTGGTGGTGTTGCTGTTATGATGTGTTTGCAAGTGACGACGCGATTCCTGATGCATGACAACAATCACCGAGCAACCGACACTCACACGCATTGTTCCCATGGTCATAAACTAAACAACCGAAGGCTTTGGCCAAATATCGTTAATTCGTTATAGGAAATCGACCTTTCAATTACTCCTGCAGAACACTGTAAGGTCACACATAATTCTGTTATTTTGAGTTTCATGCAGTGATGCCGACAGTGTAAATCTATGTTTCTTTAATTTGGTTTACATTCATTTATAGATTGATTAATTTATGTTGTTCATTATTTTGTATTTACTGGAACTTATTAAGACAATCGAAGCCATTCATATTCAGTTTGTGGTATAACAGGCTGAAGAAAGAGGAACAAATGTATGTTACAGGACGCCATGTTTTGGAAAATGGCATTTATCGAATAATATAGGCTTATATCGATTTTTGGGGCGGTGGGGTAGCCTAGTGGTGAAAGCGTTTGCTCGTCACGCCGAAGACCCGGGTTCGAATCCCCATGGGTACAATGTGTGAAGCCCATTTCTGGTGTCCCCCGCCGTGATGTTGCTGGAATATTGCTAAAAGCGGCGTAAAACCAAACTCAGTCAGTCAGTATATCGATTTTCGCATCATCTCTAAGAAGCAGCGTGCAATGTGTTCTTATTCCCTAAGTGTGTGCATAACACTGAGTAAGGGTGACTTATTTATCTAAGGAGCAAACACTCACTGCGCGCAGCCTTCAATCATTCCCATTGATAGCAATACGGGTTGGGGATGGAATTGGTGTAACTGATAATCTATGTGCTGAAATGGAATGTAGTTTTTCCTACATCATCTCTTCCACTTCTCATGAAGCATGTGTATGTCTTGAAGTGCTGTACGAGATTACACGCACGCAACAGTCCCAAACTCAATAACCTGAACGTCTAAAAATATGCACTTCTCCATACTACCCATCATCCTACCCCGACCATCCTACCCCCGCCAACACCCACACAAACACAGACATAGATTTGGCCAGGAAGGTTTATGGAATAGATCTGCAAATGCATGTCATACGACGGGTCTGGATCTGTTATGATAAGTAGTACGAAGGCTCGAGAATATATCTACAAATATGTATCTGTCATATATGGAGTATCTCTGCCACGATACATCATATGAAGGTTAGAGGTGTATATATGCTATGGTTTGTCATACGAACGTTTATAGAATTATAGATTAAGATTTGTGAAACGAGCTTTATGAGAGTTGCATGTAATAAACAATTGAAATGCAGAATTCCTTATTTACTCATGAGACCGTCAAAGACCAGTAGTGAAATGAATATCTGATACTTAGTTAAGGTCAGTTTTGTACACAAAGTCAGATCCATTTTGGCTTGTTACAGGTCCAGTTTGAGGACATCTTGGCTGAGCCCGAAGGTGCCCACAGTCTTGACTGTTGCTGGAAGTTTACCAACACATGCTTCAACTGCGCCTTCAAATGCTGCTACATGCTGATGACCCTGTGTGGTCCTATCTACGGTCTGTGCTATGGTTGGCAATACGCCATGCTTGCCTGTGCTCACATCTGGCAGTACACACCCCAGATCAGAGCTTGCGAGATCGACTGCATTATGTTCAGGAAGGTGTACACAATCTGCCTCAACTGCTGCCTGACACCGTTCTGTGAGTCCTGTGGTGCCTTCTTCAGTAGGATTCAAGTCAAACAATAATACAGGGACAATTTTTCCTCCCAAGATTCTTACAGGACTTTCCTTCATCTTGGGAATGTGTTGTGTTCTCATCTACCCTCCCACAGGACCATTTATAGTGCCTGCTCGTCGATTTACTGGCATTAAGCAGCGTCGTGCGGATTTGCAGTGCAAATGGATATACATTCGTCAAAAGTAATCTTTCGGTTCTTTCCTTAACCTTTTAAACCAGGGATTGTATCCATTTTGTCTTGGAACTCGTCTGGAACTTGGAACTTGGAACTCATCTGGAAATATTTCTACAATTTCTCCTATCGAGAAAATAAGGGACATAACTCGTGTGTTCCTGTTCGTGTGTCCGTGTACAGATCTGGACAGATTGCATTAGAACAACAAAGTATTATGTTGTACATATTTGTATTTTCCGCATTTCTGTGATCAATAAAAGTCTTTTATACAATAACGTGTTTATGGTTACACTACACTTGGAGGTTATATCAGTGACTGCGTGAGTGAGAGTGTGCATGACTGTGGTTTTACGCCGCTTTAACTCTTATTCCATCAGTAAGGTTTCGGACACAAGAAATGGGCTTCACACTTTGCACACATGTAGTGAATCAAAACCGGCCTTCAGCTGACCTTATTCAGCAATAGCATATGAAAGCAATGAAATGTTGACAAGGGAAGATGTTCCAGTGAAAAACCACCACCTAAAAGCAATGAATGATTGATACGTTATATTGAAGCGTAAGGCTGACAGTGGCAAAAGGTTTCAACACTGAGTCAAATAGGTGGCAGCAGCAATAGCCACGGAAGGGAAGGTGCACGAATTGATTGACTCAATCCTAAGTAGTGCTGGATGGATGACTTTTTAATTTAAAAAAAGGTATCTGCTCTTGGTAAGTAGATAACTGAAAAGGTTCATCCGTGACGTTGACATCAGTACAAGCCAGATACAGAGCACTGTATTTCCCGCCAGCATTTCAGTATTGTGCTTCCATTGACAATCTCCGCGATTAATACTGAGAGACTGACACATAACAGTCACCTAAACACACATAGTAGGCTACGGGCTAGTCATTTGATGTTACCAGAACTACGATTTGTCATGATGACCGCCAATAGTTGTCAACATGTCAGTGGGGCGATGGGGTAGCCTACCTTATTTAAAGCGTTCGCTCGTCAACCTGGTTGCCTGGTTCCATTCCCCACATGGGTACAATGCGTGAAGCCCATTTCTGGTGTCCCCCGCCGTGACGTTGCTGGAACATTGCTATAAACTGCGTATAACTAAACTCACTCACTCACTCATTCGAAATGTCAATACCTAAAAGTAAGGATACTAACATTATTGTTGTCATCATGTGAAGTTTTGCGTTGTTTACATTACCACTTAGTTTGTCTGTTTGATGACATTGAACCAAGGAATACACTACTGACTGACACAGAGGCAAACGCAGAACACAAAATGTTCCTTTGTGCTTAATAACCGAATCCAGTGGCTGACATCATGAGTACAGATCCATTTCGTCGCCTTTTACGCAAGCATGGGTTACTGACCAATTCTAACCCTTCATCCTTCATGGATGTGTGTGCAATGCACTGCCTTTTTAGATATGATTTATACATATGATGTGATACACTAAGAGTAAAACATATGCAAATCCTCTAGTTTTAGCAGTTTTCAGTTAGTCAAGTACTCTTAAAATATTATCAGCAGTTCAGCATGTTACGCATGGTTAGACACATTTGGCTGGATATCGCTGCACGGTTTGCTAATACACCAGGGCGTCGACTTAACTTGATTCTTGAAATGTAAATAAACCCTGGAACACTATTCTATATTTGATACAAGGTCTATGTGATAAGCCTGGATCAGGGCAAAAGGCATAGCTTATTCCAATTAACAACTTCAATTCAAGGTAGTAGTTAGAGCGGATGGTCACCGGTTCGATCCCCAGCCGCGTCATACCACAAGACGTTAAAATATGGAACTTGTTGGTCCCTTCCTGGCTCTCGGCATTAATGGGTACAACAAGGACTGGTCGGCTCGGAGTCAGTATGATGTGTCTGAGTGGGGTATTCATGCTTAACTGCAGCATGATATCTCAGTGAGCTAGCACTATAAAACCAGCTTACAACTGGGCTAGTACAAACAGCTTTTTGTACATATACGCATGAATGCACGTCGTAATATGACCGAAATACTCTTAAGTACGACGTTAAACACAATTTCACTTCACCTCACTTCAATTTTAAAGTAAAAGAGACGATAATTGTTTTATTTTTCAGATTTCTTAAACTATCGAATCTTGTCGGAACAGATTGTAGTACTCGGAATTATTTTATCAAAGCACCTCAATCCACACGCGCATTCTGATCGGTTTGTTGTATTTTCCACATCACATTGAAACGATAGGGACGTCTAAGGGAGGGAACTCTTCACGTCGAATCGCGGTGCTTCAGCTGAGTGATCATGAGCCGCAACAACACACAATACAATGCCTATCATGTATGTCCATACATTGCTATCGTCGTGCGTACGTAAGCACGCACGCACGCACGCACGTACACACACACAGACACACGCACGAACAGCGAGTGAGAGAAAGAGAGAGCGAGAGACACACGCACACACACACACGCACATAAAGCATAACGCGGCCAATAGAGACAAAAAACAATAATATGATTTCCAGATCATTTTGGTACTGTTGGTGTTTTGCACATTTTATTCAATACACGTCCAGTACCTTTATAATTATAAAGCAGAGGGTATAATTCACATGTTTATGTACGCCATGCACGTGCATTCCATGAAAAATGTGACATGTTGCACTTTGCAGTAATAATTTATTTTACTTGCATCGACAAATTTCAATGCATGCGTCTTATGAGTCGTATTTTCTATATCCTATTTTTCAAAGAACTGTATCAAGCAATCTGTGAATATCAACAGTCGACAGGTGTGATTCGCATTAACCCATAGGACATACATATGGTGAATTGATCGTGTAAAGAAAAAGGGAAACACACTGATTTTGTGGCTCATTCCAGTTTATTATACCAAGGAGGATACAGCAACACTACAGTGGAGACGCAACAGTACTGCCGCAAGACCACATGGTAGTGTCATGGTGGTATCCAGGTAAGAGAGTCGTCCGGGTGTCACCTCACTCTTATGTTTGTTTGTTTGCTTGCTTGCTTGTTTAACCCCGCACTCAGCAATATAAGGCCATATATAAAAATGTTCTTGTTTCTCACTACCGCCCGACCCAAAAATTCGACCCAACCATAAGATTTTTCTTACACAAGAGAAAAATTCGACCCAACCATAAGATTTTTCTTACACAAGAGAAAATGCAACTTTGCTTCCCAAAATGTGCTTGAATTTTGACACCTGTAAGTTTTGATTTTCTATCTCACAAAAGCTGTAAATTTCCACAGAAGTGGACATAAAATAAATTAAATTGTAAAGATAAATTCCGCCCGTCCGACTCATAATTTTTTTATAAAAGTGATGAGAAAAAAGAATATTGTTTATGTGGCCTAGCGGTGGTCTGTAAATGTTGGAGCCTATCCACTCATCAAGGGTCTACTACTGTAGAGGAGGTGAGTGAGGGTGCGTTGGGACAGGGTCTCACTGGGGTTTGATGGAAACCGCGTGGCTACCGGACTCGGACGTTCCCTACTATGTCAGACATACCCCGATTACGTATTCGTCGCTACTGCCGGTGTTGATGGAAATGCGGCCTGTGTTAAAGTATCCCACTTGTCCTAAGAATCCAACATTGGATGAGTGAGTGAATGAGTTTGGTTTTAAGCCGCTTTTAGCAATATTCCAGCAATATCACGGCGGGGGACACCAGCAATGGGCTTCACACATTGTACCCATGTGGGGAATCGAACCCGAGTCTTCAGTGTGACGAGCGAACGCTTTAACCACTAAGCTAGCCCACCGCCCCTTGAGGATCAAATGGTCAAAGTGCAACTCAAAGAGATCGCAGGGCAAAGAAGTTCCCTGAAAGGCAGCCCCACACAATTTCCGGAGCATCGGTTCGGGGCATCCTTAGCAAAATTTGTAAGGTTGTAAAACATAAGGAAATGTTTAAGTCACGCAAGCCATATCGACCTTTGACGCGGGTCTACAATGAGGACTTGTGTTGTGATGCTGATTCAAGGTGTAGGGAGAGATTCTCAACAGTAGGGTACGGATACAATAACGGTCATATTGATAAGTTAAAACAAACGTATATAACTTCCTTTATCCTATGACGAGATTCCGGTTGACCGTTTCCTGTATTACTCATGAATGGATTTGATGTAAGTTTCATCATATTGATTAAAAACTTTATTAAAAAGTTAAAATGTATTCATTATTATACGGAAAAATTGATACATAGAAAATAAAACAATTTTTATATTTTCTTATGTCAAATCAGACAATTTTGGAAGCGTATTAATGCCACATTCTAAAAACATTTTTTCATTTACTTTCAACTCCATATTTGTTGTTGTAACCTTGTGTTAGCATCTTGGTCGTGTATTTACGTTTGGCGTTTTCTGTATTTCCACATATGTAATTATTTCATAGTATGGTCGTTAAAATACATTACTCAAATAATTTAGTTTGACTAAACTTTGATACATTTAAGTGAAGAGTTACTTGATGGAAATATTGTTACCAAGTCAATAACTCGATACTCGATGATGCCTTCCAAGCAGATTATAATGTCATTTACGCACATTTAGAAGTATCAACTACGTGACTAATTTTCAGCAAACTAAACTGGCAATAAGCATGCTACAAATAGTAAAAGAGTAAAAATGAAAGCTATAACCCATAACCAGAAATATAAGACCCCATCCGCTACCTAATCATCGCCATCATCTGGTACAAAATCGATACCATCTCCGTCCACGACACACACGCACAATGTATCGAACCAAAGACAGTTCAGTCTAGAGTCACATCTGGCGTCGTTACTATTGAAAAATTGCAGAACCTATTGAGTCGAATATCAAATATACGCGCACAAGGCTGAATCATCATATTGATAAAGACTCATATCAATGCTAAAGTCCTTTGAACTATACGTGAAATATAGTACAATTTGATTGATTCAATAGGGTCAGCGGACCACAATACAACTAGGTACCCAACTGAAGCGTTAATTGCATCCTCTCCACGTCTGTTGTATGCATGCCAGTGAACAGTAACAGGCACAATTTGTTCATTTTGAAATTTAAGTTATTCAGTGTCATCTTGTTGCGTTTGTCCACATTAGAAACGCCTAGTAAGTATATGCTTCTTATTCAACCTGTTTTCCTGTGATTAGTTTGTTTTAAAGTTATGGATTCTTTTCAAGGAACGTTTCAAATATTTTATTATGTCCGACATTAACTATATTTGATTCACAATGATTATCACTCCTGTCCTGTTTAAGTTCTGCTGTGCCTGAAGTAAATATCATTACTGTATACCTAATTCAGGATTAAAAGTAACAATTTTCATCATTATGTTTTCTTATGAAAACGAAAAAGTTGATTAACTTGATGAAACATAATCATCCCTTCATTTTGAAAGCGTCTTAGGACCACGGCCTCATTATTGTAATCATCTCTGAAGAAGATACCATCACCTCGGCGCCTTGAGCATGTACTAGTTTCGTGGATATGTGCGCTATATAAATACCCTATAATAATAATCTCCATATATGATATTGAAATAGTGTGCATCGCTTCTGAGACCGTTATATTGTGTTGTGAAGATACAACCCCAAGTTAAACATTATCGGATATACACAAAACGCCAAAAGAAACGTTACCCTCCTTTCTTAATGACGGAGGTTCCTATCTTCAGCATGCGTTGTGATGCGTGGACGTCCACTTCTTGGTCTGTCTACGGTGACCCTAGTCCGTCTGAAACCCTGAATAAGTCTTATAACCGTGAAAAGGTGGCATCCGAGGGCGTTGGCAACAGCATTGTATGTCGACCCCATCTGCACCATCCCAATGGCTCTTTCTCTCTCTTCAGCTGTTAATCGTGGCATTTTTCTCGTACTTGTGTATCATATCACGCATTCTAGTCTCTCTTCATACCCTGTAGAATCATTCTACATGTGAAATGTATGCAAATACTGCTTGAATATTGCTGCGTTTTGGCGATTGATATTGCTATGTGTCAACAGAAAATGGAAAAATGTTACTTTGCAAAGCAAAAATGTTGATAAAGATAATTTTAGATGTTCCTGAACATTTTTTCAAAATATCAAAGACACGTTTTACTTGTTTTCACTAATGCAAATCAGCAGAAAATGTTTTTAAAAGCCTGAAATCATAGGAATAATTATTTTACAATTTTACACACTCTACAACAGTTGCTTTTTGTTTTAATAGTGGGAAAATGGAGACTTTAAATGGTTTATCTTTGTCTCAAATCAGAATTTTATTTCAACCTTTCTTGTGGACATCTAAATCACTGTTATTGGTATATTTTGGCATGGACGAATATAGGACAAGTTAACTCTTCTGAAAACGATGCATTTCACCTAAATATGAATGTATTTGAGAATTGGTTTCCGTGATTTGCATAAAGCTGTGTTGTTAAGCTTTCATGTAAACTAATACCTTCTAACATATCTTTGATAGTTTTTCAGTAATTCATAAAGGTAGGAGGGTAACGTTTCTTTTGGCGTTTAGTGTAGTTTATTGAACTATATATTTTATGTTTGACAGCATGTTATTCGCGTATTTTCGCGCAGCGTGAAAGAGAAACTCAAATAAACTCATTAAAAAAGATTTCGACTCATTTAAATGAAGACTTAATAAATTGAACGCTCTTCTGGTGCCTCAATAAGCAATAAAGAAACATTAAAGTTCCATACTTTTTTATATACATTCATTGATTTGTAATAATTGGAGTTGCATATACCTACGCATCTTTGCCGCCAACTCGTATAACAATTTAGAAAGCGCCTTTAATAGTGTGTACTGGCATTTAGTGTGTACGTTATTTTCTCCGTGTTACCCATCTCCCGCCCGCCCTGAATTTGTGAATTATGATAAAAAGCTGAGGAAATGCATGCCCTGATGTGAAGTATTTCAGTACCTTTACCTTTACACTCATAAACCAAACAGGTTAGCTCGATCTGTCTTCCTTCTACGTTTTACAAATAAATGAATCGATCTACACCACAAATTGATTTAAAACCATTACGGAGTGATGTAGAGTTACACATTTTAAATGCAAACAGTCCTTGGGAGTGATCTGAAGTATGGTTCTGGGGATTTGATTTCATTCGAGATCCCTGATTCACTCTAAAATGATATGGTCCTGGGGAGTGATCTGATTCCAGAACGAATTCACTCTATGAGTCAGGTTATAGAATCACAATCGGCACATTGTATTCACGTATCGGTAGCAAAAGGTTATGCTTATACGTGAACATAATAAAACGAGATCCTATAAAAATATCACCATTGCAACAGACATGGGTGGAGCAAATGAAACAATATTGTAAATCGTAGACGATCTCCTTCAGAGTGATCTGAAGTGATATGGTCTTAGGGATTTGATTTCATTCTACATCCCTGACTCACTCTAAAATGACATTGTCCCGGGGAGTGATCTGATTCTAGAACGAATTCACTCTAAAATGATATGGTCCTGGGGAGCGATCTGATTCTAGAACGAATTCACCCTCTATATGCTATGATCCTTGGGAGTGATCTGATTCTACAACAAATGCATTCTATATATGATATGGTCCTGGGGAGTGGTCTGATTCGACAACGAATTCACTCTTCATATGATGTGGTCGTGGGGAGTGATCTGATTCTAGAACGAATTCACTCTTTATATGGTGTGGTCCTGGGGAGTGATCTGATTCTAGAACGATTCCACTCTTTATATGATGTGGTCCTGGAGAGTGATTGTCCTATACCGGTAAGCAAACAAACAACGTCCAGCTACTGTGCCCATGAGTCAAGTTATAGAATCATAATCGGCACATTCTGTTGATGTATCGGTAGCCAAAGGTTAGGCTTATACGTGAACATAATAAAACGAGTTCCTATGAAAATATCACCATAGCAACAGACATGAGTGGAATAAATGAAACAATATTGTAAATCGTAGACGATCTCCTTCAGAGTGATCTTTGAGAACTGCAACTTTCACGGTTATCAATCTAAAATTGTATGTGTAAATGCTCGACAATACAAATGATTCCTACAGTTGTTTAGTAGGGCGTTGTTTCTCATGTTTGAGACTGTTTCCGGACTGTTTCCGGACTGTGTCTCTATAAAATGGATTTATGTTTTTTGGTGTTTTGAATATTAAGTGGAGTCATGGTACGCACATTTCTACATATGGCAATAATGTAGTCAAAACACGTGTCGCCATCCTTAACTTGCACCGCTGTGTATGTACCACGTGACGTGGCTAACAAGCGTTTGTTGTTGAACACGCTAATAACAACGTATTCCGCGACAGGTCGCATCGCTATCCAGGGTAAGTATGAGACAGGTGATTACAAAACTAAGGAATAAATATTACTTTTGTTAATTAATACTGAATTAAGTATTAATCGATTACGTGGAAGGCGTATCATATATCGTATTGTTAGGTGTATATTCGTCATGTATGTTCATTTGTATTCATTATATTTTAGTGATGCATGGATCCCGTTGTCGAATTACTCGATGGGAATAATGGACGTCCATGCAGAGGTTGATACAAAAACATTTGGGAGGAAAACGGTCATTCTGATTGTGTTTGTTGTGATAATCACAATATGGTTATCTACACACAATGAACTGAAAGACAGGGTAAATAAAATACTGAAAAATCAAGATGTCTACCATGTAATCAGAGCACGATTTGATCATCTTAATTTCAACGTTCAACAAGTCTCCAGAACCAGCCCTGAATACAAGGATGAATTTGAACGCCTGTCCTTGACGAATGTGTCCAGATTTTCCACACCCTGGCGAATTCATGACCTTGTATTTCATGAAGGTAAATCTCCTGTTCTTGTCAAAGGAAACATGTACTTCACTGAAAATCAAAGCAGAGACATTTTCTTCAAATACCTCAAAGATTTCAATTTTTACCAACCAGTGATGACCATCGAGGATCGGATATCACTTATGCAGACTCTAGAAGTGTTTGAGCACGTGTGTCATAGCAACGGTATACGTCACTTTCTGTTTGGTGACACCTTGCTTGGTTTGTATCGGCACCAGGGATTCGTTCCTTGGACAGGAAGTGCTCATGTTTGTGTACGCGAATCGGATTGGTTGAAATTACATTCTTCTCTGACTGTCTTACCACAGTTCAACATTGACGTTTTTCAGAACAATCGGTGGACGTTTTATTTCAGGGAATATCAGGCTAACCATCCCGATCAATTTCCATATTTGGATATTTCCTTCTTTAACGAAGACATCTCCCATATATGGTCAGTAAGTCCCTCAGCAATGCCTTTGTTTCTGTATAAGAAAAGTGAAGTTTTCCCTTTGCAACGGCAACCCTTTGAACATTTGTTTCTACCAGTTCCACGTAATCTGGAATTCATTCTCAAAGAATTTTACGGGAATATGACGGATGACTGCCATTCGGATAACTTTCTTGTTGACAGTTACATTAGACAGAACACTCACACCTATGTTAACTTGCCATGCCAGTTTTTGCATGCCGTCTACCCGTTTGTATTTCGCAACACATCACGTGATCCCCTTACTGAAATTTTGATGGTAGGCGAAACTGTGTTCAAGAAAAGAAAAGATCCACATACCTAAAATAAAGCATTAATATTCAACACGAAGTTTGTGCATGAATGGATCCGATGTCACAGTATTTACATCTCCTATTTGTCCTGGTGTTAGAGATACTAGTAAAGGTTGTTATCAGGTCCATATCAAGGGTTATCGATTATCAAAGGCTATCATTCGGTAATTCAAACAGTCCACGAATCGGCCAGATTGCTCGACCAATTCAACTCTAATTTAGCAACCACGGCTACTGGACTCATTATTTCTTGAAGTCATTATTTATTTTCAGGGTAAGTTTAGTCATGGGGACAATACGACCGACCGCCAGAACTCGGAGATTTGATGGCTGGTATCAGTCATTGGCTCTTCTACTCTGGGGATATTCACCTTATGGTGACATCAGGTACATTGATTTATAGGGCAAGCCACTGTGGTAACACATGTTGCCATCGAGAATTGAAAAGACATAAACCTGAACATTTGAACCAAGAAATCAATATTGCACGGTGTTTGATGAAATATATAACATTCACAGATAGTATTGTAATGATCTCTGCCATTGCTCCACTAACCCTGGGAAGGAAACAATCAGTAGATACTGATGGGAACGAATGAGGGAATGCAAGAAAGTATAAGTGTTCCTGTGTGTATTGCCAGGTTTTCAGAACAGTGAAATACAAAGCATGCAAAGACACCTGGCAGTTGATATAGGAACACTTGTACTTATTTCTGTATTTTAGTTTTTCAACCAGATTATATTGGAGTGAAAATCATCATCAGCTATTTCTTGTACTTTGTAAGACATGCAAAATTGTTTTATATTTACGGTGTCAAATATATGTATACTTCAAAACTAATAGGTCTATTGTTTGTTTGTTTGTTGTTAAACTCAACACCCCAGCAATATTCCAGCTGGCCATAGGTCTGTTGGCATGGAAACAGTACATGGCATGATGAAATGTCAAGCTATGGAACAAAGAAATGGGATCCAAATCAGATTCACTTAACTTATATTGCACTCATGTAGAATGCATTCATTCTTGTAGTCTGTCTCACAGTTCCTGAACCATATCATTTTCCCTAAAGCCTAGCCCACCCTGCAATGCTAAAGCCCTAAATGAAGCAAGTCTAGATTTGACCAGGGTCTGAATCTCTGGACTTCCTGGGGCTCCTTTTCAATATAAATGGGTTTGTTTGTTACAATCAAAATTATATATATTCAGAGACTAAGCGTTAGACTCTCATTGCGGGGACACACACTGTTAGAACTGGTCTTCAGCAACCTCTGCATGTCGTAAGCGGCGACTAACGGGATCGAGTACTCAGGCTCGCTGATCCCAGTTGCGTAGATCGATGATCATACTGTTGATCACTGGATAGTCTGGTCCAGACTCGGTTATTTACAGACCGCCGCCAAAGAGCTGGGATATTGCTGAGTGCAGCGTTTAAACAACAAACAAACAAACAAGCAAACAAACAGACATTGCCGGGATACCTTTTCAAAATTTATTTATCAAACTATTACCATTAGTCTTTTTGCAAATAATGATATCCAATGAACAAGCGACGTTTGTACAGGTGGATAATGGTGATAGTGAACAGTACAGTACATACACCCATGTGCCAAAATTGTTTCAATTTTTACCGATCAGTGGAAAGCGATGAATTTGAAGACGTTTTTATTTCGCATCGCATCTCTTGGTAGAGTCAGCTTTTTTTCCGTCTTTTATAATTGATATCACTTCCCGTCATCCACTTTCGTGTACGCAATTCCGAAAGTTTATTTGTCGTCTGCTTCGTTGTGAGACATAAACAACCATGTCCGGACACGGAAAACTGATGAGTAATGACACAAAACAGGTCATTATCAATATGATAAATGATGGATATAGATCATCCGATGTTTCAAGAGTATTCTACTATTTGCAAATGTTTGAAGAGACATCGAGAACGGGTAAATACCGAAAACAGACGTCATTCTGGTAGACCTGCAAAAATCACAGCACGGGGGAGTAATCAACTTTCGAGGATCGTTAAAGTTGATCGCCGGAAATCTTTGGAGGATATTACTCACATTTTTAATCAGTCTGTGCCACAACCTGTTTCCAAAAGAACTGTTCAAAGAAATTTACATTCACTGGGATTTGTTCGACGGACTGTTTGCAAAAAGCTGGGAATACGTGAGGTCAACAGGAAAAACATGTGGCATGGTGTAGAGGAAAAATTCGTTGGACTGTTGATAGGGACTGGAAAAAGGTCATCTTTACCGATGAAATGACTATTGTTGTTAAACCTGATGGAAGAGTTAAAGTGTGGCGAAAGCGATCAGAAAGATGGAGGGGCGAGTGTCTCGGGTATTTCACTCAGGGAATAGGGCGGTCTATGAAGTTGATGATGTGGGGGTGCATTACATATTACGGTGTTGGGTGTTTGGTCATGGAAACATGAACAGTGCTAAGTATATTGATACACTTGACAACTGTTTGTGGCCTGTTGTTGTAAAGCATTTCCTTGACAAACCATGGCTGTTTCAAGATGATAATGCACCGATGCATCGGTCCCGTAAGACGGAAACATGGAAACGCAGGAATGACATTCCTCAGCTACCTTGGCCAGCACAGAGTCCAGATTTGAACCCAATCGAAAATGTTTGGCTTGTTTTGAAAAATAATGAGAAAATAACCCCAACATTTCTACTATCACGGGACTGGGAGACTTGAGAGAGTGTCTCCAGTCCGCTTGGGATGATCTAAGAGTTTACGACAAGTACTAATCTCAAAGGGACACATAACAAAATATTAAAGCAACAGGACACCGATAAGGTAAGCAACACGTTCGTTATTATCCATAACCGGACACGACCGAAATGTCTGCCATCTTGAAAAATGAAACAATTTTGGCACATGAGTGTATATAGACGTACAGGAAACCAGATATGTAAATAAGTATATACAAGCGCAAGGGAAAAAGGAGGTATAATTAAGTATGTACAAACAATGCAGTGAGATCAAAAGAGCAGAATACAATAATAGGGTATGTTTTTACAATAAGGGCAAGGGAGTGTTTAGATAGCAGAGTGGTTCAAGCAGATTGAGTCGCCTCCATAGTTTTCGGGTGATGAACCAGGCGCTGGGGAGGTAAACCCCTTTGATCTCTGTTGGTCTCAGGCACTACAGGCGCTGGGGAGGTAAACCCCTTTGATCTCTGTTGGTCTCAGGCACTACAGGCGCTGGGGAGGTAAACCCCTTTGATCTCTGTTGGTCTCAGGCACTACAGGCGCTGGGGAGGTAAACCCCTTTGATCTCTGTTGGTCTCAGGCACTAATCTTCTTATGTTGATTGACTCACAGAGTTTTCTTTTGCGCCAATTGGTGATGTTGGAAGCCAGGATTTCGGTGTGTTGTCAGTTGATAGTGTGGTTGGAATTGTTAACGATGTGTTCTGAGAGGGCAGATTCGAGATCAGGTTTTCTGACAACTGACAACAACTCCCGTTCGAAGTGTTGATTCCTTTCTCTCACGTGTGCTTTACCATAACTTCAGTGAAAAAAATATGGCTATAGGGAAGAAATTCAAAGGGTGTCAATATTTCATGAATTCCCGATATATGTACTAATCTATTGTATGCTGCTGAACTATAAAGTGTCTTCATATACCAGAGCTTGGAGTTTACAGGCTGCAGCGACATGAAGCCCGTGTGGAGTAGTGTAAGGGAGATAACTCTATCAGCACATAGTGCAGTTGAACGGACTTGTGCAGGGGCATGTAGAGCGAGATATGGCTGCTATGTGCCCGTGGCTGTCACGCTCCAAAAAATAAGCTTGTGTTCTGTGTACATACATAATGCCCACGGCCCCGCATTCATGAGACAACTCGGCCGCAGCAAGCATTACACCTGTACCAGTGTCTAAAATTGACTGTCGCGCAATAGGGTTCTGTTCGTTATCGAAATATGGACATGTGTACAAAATACGGGCGTGATTTTACAGTCTCTTTACTTTTCGAAATAGTCAAATGAGAGTACGAAATGTGAGGAAAATAGGAAACCGAGGCTACGAAAAATCCAGATACGATTGAATTCTACGACCCCTTTTAATTGTCCTCAATGTGCGCACGTGCAGCACGGGATTCAAGCACAGAGTGGCATGCGACTTTGGCATGTGTCCAAACAGAATAATAAGTTTGTGTCAGGAGATGGGCTTTTGCGTAATGTCATAGTTTGTAATATTACAACATTCAAACTCATATAGAAACAATCATCTTGTATTTTTGGAATATTCCAGAATTTCGTTAGGGAAATAAATAATAATATTTTTGCTGTTAATAAATTTGTCTCACTCTTTTTTTCATACATTGGACAATGTCATGGATTTGAATAGGTATCGTCAGAAACAGGGCGTTCAGCTTGGGTCTCAGAATAAAGACATTATCGAACGACGCAAGGACAATCATATTTGAAAGAACCACACATAATCATTACGATTTGCACACACATACACGCAAAGATATTCAAATGAATTATTTCGAAATTTGTATGCATAAATATCTTTAAATACTTACAGAATTTGAAAATTAATTAAATGAACACCAGGGTATTTAACTTGTTCAGTGGGAGACATCCTGGCTCATTAAACCTTCAATGACAATATCATTCCCACATAAAATATTTAGTAATTTATTTTTACATCAAAGTTGTATTATATATCAAGCATTTGTTTTGTATCCAGTCATTTGTTTTACTTAACGTACATAATTGAGGCTTGACAATGCAAACAAGTAACTGACATTGTTAAATACGACAGTCACCATATGATGACACAAGAGCGACCAATTCTCCGAACCTGACCAACTCCTGCAAAACAACAAGCAAAGGCTATCCTCAAAGTCTCCTCACAGTGACTGTGCTGTGGGGCCCATCCCCCATAGATAAATAGGTCCCCAACGGACCCTCCGGCAGTTACCTAAACGAATTGCCGTTCCATGTCACGGTTGTCATTGTAAGCCCTGTCTCTGCAACACGAATGGCTATGAGGGGTTCGTTGGGACAGGGGGTGACCTTTACTCCTCACTCTCCCCAGACGCAACCATGCCCCGCACCCACAGAGATTAACCCAAGGTCGAAAGCTCATATATTAATTCAGCTTCAGATCCCGCTCGTATGGCATGTGCGACCTGATTTATCTCTCAATACACAACTGCCTGGACAAGACTAAACAGGACAGCAAGTCACAGAGTGCGGAACTGGATAAACCTAGGTTCGACTCAAGACGCTGAATTTCAGACCCGCACGTTTCTACTAATGCTGAAGGTATCTTTAATAAATAATCGAACTGAACCAGAACATTTCACGTCCTGACACATTGGTTCGTTTCAAATACCAAGAATACATGCTCTCGTGTTTTAATAATAAATACCTATCTGTTATCAAAATTGATTTCCTCCAAACATATTGACTTGTTATCTATTTTATGTTGATTCTTTTCTTGACTGCCTCAACTCTGAAACTCTCCGGCCACCTGGCCTTTTATGAAGACAGCAATAAACTTATAGCGACGGTAGCCACCACTATGAAAGTGGAAATTGTTAAAATGTTTCACTGTTTGGTATCATGGCGGCTGAGAAGGAATGATCATAATACCCCTATGTCCATTAGTAGCTTTGTGTATATGTTAAATGCCCATATAATTATGACGTTCAGGCATTTGCTCGAAAATTACATATACTGAGCGAAACAAGGCAACACCACTTCATCGCAGTGTTCCTCTATTTGTTCTCAGATTCCCACCCACAGTGCGATACAAAGCTGGTGAAGAAACCTGGAAAAAATAAAGGAGCACTTTCACGTGTTCCCTTATTTGTTTCCTCAGTATATTAATGAATTATCGCGACGTTTACTTCCCCATTTGTGTCCATGTGTCAGATCTGCTCACTCTATGAAAAGTCAAGCTAATTAGATATGTCCAGATGACTTGAATGGCGTTCGGTCACTTGCAACATAATTAAACATTAACGAATTATCACAACATGTACGACCCTAATGGTGTACACAGTGAAATGTCAACAAATCTGAATAGCAGTCAGTATCCTTCTATAAAGACAGACAGTATAGTCACGCAAGACATAGCCGGCAGACATTCAGATACGTACAGTCAGACCAACAGATCGGCAAGCTGGGGAGACGAACACTGACCAGGCAGCCAAGCCCTTCATGATCATCTACCCAAGTGTTAGCCTCACTGTCCCCCACCTCTGTCTGTGTGGTTGATAGCGCGGTTCTACTTGGTGGAAAAGTCATTAAATTTGCCATAAACACGGCTTGTTGTTTGGGTATATTAAAATTGTTTCTTGTTTTGTTTTTGTTAAATGCCGCACTCAGACCATCCAGTAATGCAGATGAAATTCAGCCGTTAGTCGGTTTGGCAACTCTAACAGGCTAGCTGAGGTCAGGATGAGGTAAGGTGAAATTAAATGGGCTTTGGCGTCGCTGTCAACGTGTTTTGGTATTGTGCGGCCGGAGATTGAACGATCCAATGACTTAAGACCCACCGGACAGACACTCCATCCGCTAGATAATGGGGGCGGTAATTCTATGAGAAATTCCAACTTGAAAGTGTATTTATTATTTTGCAAAATGTTACATGTATCATAGAGTGTACAGAAAATTAAGAAAAAATACACAACTCCTTTATTTCAGTCATTAGATCTCTCACTGAGCATACTCCAAAAGATCTAAGCATATATCCGAGGCTATCTATAAAGAACTTGGGTTCATGTCCAAACTCAAAAGAAAAAAAAGTACAGTCAGTGTTGCAATATACAGACTGTTGTTGACAACCAACACACAACAAAACATTAGGCGAACAACAGATTTGTGTGCACGTGTCGTCCTTATCAACCTCCTTCACGCAGGAATCCGGGTTGGAAGAGGTCCCCGGCAGCCTAAGCTGGCCATAACCAAATGGATTCCATGGTTTATGGCTAGGATCGGTACTCAAAATATCGATCACTGGATTATTGACAGGTTGTCGTCATATAGCTGACATACTGAACAAATACTTAACAAATCTCAGGTTGACTAACCTTACTTATCATTTGACGGGCGTTGTATCCATACGCTCACATTGGCTTACGTTGCTACAGTAGATGTCTCAACACGCGCTCGTTATGTTTTTATACAGTTGCAAGGCACAGACAACCTAGATCGTATCAAAAGTAGTCGCACCGCCGTCTTCACATTCTGGAGGAAATCCTTCACCTCCTCATTCACCTCACAAACCTGAGCTTTGTGACATTTAGTAGGACTATGACTACACAATGCCATTTAGAAAGTGGTCAAATGTAACATATGTTATATTTGTGATTACACTTTCTTAGTAAAGTACAGATTCTAGTACTTTTCTTGGGTTGAATCCACACCCTCAGAGTCAGGCACCTAATCGCCAGCACACAAAGTCGGCCGCCTGACCTGAGTGGAAGCAGAGACCATATAATAATCTATTATATGGTCTCTGGTGGAAGTCGCGATGGCTGAGCGGGTTAGGCGGCTGACTTCGTGTGCTGGCGATTAAGGGGAAGTCGCGGTGGCTGAGCGTTTTCGATTTCCTACATGGGTACAATGTGTGGAGCCCATTTCTGGTGTCTTCCCATCGTGAATAGCGTTATTACTGTTAAAGCCGTGTAAAAACTCACTCACTGACTTTCAGCTCGCGCAGTAAGTTTTCCCAAACGCCGGATATGTACTTGTCACATAGCAGCAGCGTCAATTCAGCGATCTAACGCTGAATCGTGTTCATCTGAATTATATCATGATATCTTCCTGTTTACTAAACACAATAAACACGTATTATTAGACACTTTATACAAACTTCACACTCCTAATCCTCATTATAAATAAATACAACAGTATATATAAACAGTTGATTAAAATTTTAAAAGATTCTCAAAGAAAGGAAACATTGGAAGAATAAATCTTATCTCAAATGTCCGTTTAACGAGTTCCCGCTCAATGGCTAGACCGCTAGTCCGAGACAAGTGAAAAGCGGAAGAGCCCAGTGTGTTGGTTCTACAAGGTAGCACTGTAGCCGCATCTTATTTGGGATTGATTTGGGACAACTTGGGTCCAACACTATCTGTCCCGTATCTATCGTTACCATGGAAACCGTTTCATTTCTTCACGAAAGCCATAAACAACATCCCACAGGACTCGCACCAGGGATCCAGGCAGCAGTGCACACACATTCCGTACAGCTTCTTCAGACAGCCACAGTTGAGCTCCATTACCTTGAAGCAGGGTGTGACGCACCAGATGTGGCTGAAGGCTATCGAGGCAAACTCACAGCCCCATTGCAGTGCGATACAGATGCCACACAACAGTGTCAGGACTTTGTAGAGACATCCTTTACAGCAATTGAAGCATTTGTAGGATGCGCTCCACACACAGTCGATGCTTCGAGCTCCCTCTGGCTCGGCCAAGATATCTTCAAACTCGACCTGGATGAAACATTTCATGTATTAATCCAAAGGCCAAAACATTTCTATAATTATTTTAATCAAAGTACTGTCTCCTTCTTCCAGCGACATATCACATGAAATATAGAAATAGCGAGTTTAATTCAAAGTGGATTGTTACACTCTAATACCAACATTGCTCAGGGGCTTTGTATATTGATTGTAATGGATAAAGAGAACTTGTGAAAATACGCTATAATAATACTACTAATAAAAACAGCTTTGTTAGATTTCCCCGACATCATTTAGACCATGCATTTGCAGGGCTCGATTTAGTGCTTTGTTACTTGCATTGGTGCAACCCAGTATTACAAAGTGCAACCTAGTTATGAGTCTAACTTGCACAAGGTGCAAGTCAATTTTTGAGAAATAAATCAATGATGAATCTAACATTATAAGCATAAATATGTCAGCTCATTTTTCTTCTAAACTTTGAATAGCTATGGCACCGAAACATTGCTATTCATAGACACGTCTCGGCTATGACAGCTCTTGAAAACAGATATCAGCTGTGTCTCTGTGTTGCTATGGTTTCATGGGTACTACATCACGGAAATATTATGTGCACCGAAACTTCTGGCGATTTAAACACACTATGTTCCAACTGGAATTTGGCTGGTGCAACTAGGTCTTTATCGTAGGTTGCACCTGGTGCAAGTAGGTTTACTTCTCTGAAATCGAGCCTTGATTTGAATCTTTATATCAATAGCACCCGTGAAGATCCGGGTTAGAATATTGATCTTCAGTAACCCATGTTTGTCGTAAGAGGCGACTAACGGGAGTAACCAAGGAGATATCGGGATCGGATGGTCAGGCTCAATGACTTGGTTGACACGTGTCATCGTATCCCAACTGCGTAGATCGATGCTTATGCTATTGATCACTGGAACGTCTGGCCCAGACTCGATTATTTACAGATCGCCGCCACAGCTGGAATATTGCTCAGTGCAGCGTAAAACTGAACTCACTCACTCACTTAAATCAATAGCCTCTGATGTAGTTGTAAAGGCGATGATGTTGAAAATAATCCAACTCATAATGGTACACATTTTGTAAACAAGATGCCTAGATCACTTGAGACCTGATAAAAAGCCCTACAAAAGGCTAATATATAAGATTTAGCTGAATTGTCGTTAATATTATTTCTAATACTATTTCTGATATATAATAGATTACATTAGGTTACAAATTACTGTTACCTTTATGTGGTCGTTGATGTTATTGGGGTCTCTGTTCAGTAGATCCATGACAGCAGGTTTCACTTCCACTTCCCGTCATAAATGCATTAACCCTCATCTATAGACATTTCTTTTACTTATATAGCATACCCTTTCCGCCTAAACGAGTTCCGACAAGTCGGATGATAAGTCTAAACGATATCAACGATTTATTACGACAGTTTTATCAATATTGGTAGGCATGTACACAGAAAGCGTTTCATATCAACCATGCAATACTACCATGAACTGGAAGTCTTAAAGGCGGAAGGTCACTTATGCGAGTGTGATCTCCAGTGAGTGTGTGAGTACTGTTTTACGCCGCTTTTAACACCATGATAAGTTATAACGTGCTCCCATATCCATTAAGGCATAGGGGGTCCAGTCGTCTAAGCATGTATGATCCTAAGGGAGCTGAGAATGGAGTGCATGTTGATTACTGGACAGGAGCAATAAAACAATAGCGCTAAAAGGAACTGCTTCTTATTCATGTGAGCCGCGCCAATTCGCCAGAAAACTGTGAAGATGGGTTCGAATCCCGTTCGACGTGATCATCATGAAAGTGGTAAACGCCTAATAGTCATCACCTAGGGCTTTCCTCCACCCTCATGTTGATAGTCTGTGATATAGCTGAAATACTGCTGAACCAAACTCACCCACTAAGTCTTCGCTATATCTTTCAGAATCATTTAAGGCAGTGCTCTATCTTAATTTAAATGGTGTGTGCAGTGCACAAGCCTGTGCACTTAAAAGAACCCACGAAACCGTTGGTTTATGACCAGATGGTGGCCATATGAATACAGTAAACTTGGTACTGCGACTATGTGTCCCAGTCCACTCAGCTGTGAATGGGTACCTCGTAAGGATGCGAAAGCCGCAATACCTCGGTGCGCCTAGTCTCTGTATGATCCTTAGGAAGTTGAGATTGATGATACGATGTGCCGTTGAGATTGACGTCCAATGATCGAGGGTACAAATACCAACGTCTTGAGTACGTACTAGCTGCGTGGATATGTGCGCTATATAAATATCCTGTAATAATGACAAATAATATACGAGTTGCGTGATTTTTTATGACGCGGGTACAAATAATCGTCACAATATGTTTAAGATTAAACTGGTATTTTAGTGGACTTTACTTTACTTTACGCCCGATCGCGATCTGTGAATATCTGTATTCTGAAAAATATTTCTTTGTATGAAATCAAAATCGTATCCCAAAATGTAAAAGCCTTGCCCCTTTAATTCACAACATGGCAAATACATAACAGATATAGCTGGTTGCCAGTATTCAATACTGAACTGGTATTAACCTTAAATCCGCGAAGCATCGATCAGACGTAGATCAGACTTATCAAGACACATTCATCCTCCACACGGGGGAGTGGTGATAAAGTGAAATAAATGATCATTTAAATACACTGGAACACCCCCTGACAGTTCGTTTTAGGACAGATAACACGCGGCATTGGTCACCTGAACAGTTTGTATCGTGAATTTCCACCGATGTTGCAACATTCAAGTTAAAAAACTACCGGGGGTAATGATAATGTCAGCCACATACTCGCGTCACCTAGTTTCGGTTAATTGAATATATAGTTACAGCATACGTGACTTTACCAATGTAAAAGCGTCTTCAACATAGAACACTTCTCTGTCTACAACGGAAGTTACAATCGTGTCCTTTGTTAACCACTAAATAATAACGCGTCCATTTATATAGTGCCAAACTCGACACCAGGTATGCTCATAGCGCTAACAATGAACGGCACAGCACATTGCCCCAGAAAACCCAACTGTTACACTGGATTGTTAGTGATCGTTACAACCAGTAAGATTAATGTCGATATGTCCTTCCTGTCTATTTCTTCAAATTGATAAACATGTTAAAGTATATTACAAATTATGTTTCAGCTCTCGAACATTGTTGAAGCAAGATTAAATTACATTTGTGACGTCATTTCATTGTCTGCTCACTCCATTACTTTTCAGGAATGGAGCGAGGTGTACCCGCTTCAAATTAAACACTTCATTTTGTCATTTAATTTTGATAACTGAAATATTCCCGATACTTTGAATGTAATTTAAGTAGGGTAATATCCTCGTAGCTCTCCATTCCTTAAAAATATCCTCGGCTCCATTATTTTTAAGGAATGGAGAGTTACTCGGACATTACACTCTACGTAATATTCCAAATTATATTTACTCAGTTTGATAAAATAGAAACGAAATTTTGGGTTTTTTTTGCATTGCATACAATAGAAGCATATGACTGAAATCCCAGTTTGTATCCCATTGTATCCCAGGATGTCTAATGTCTAGGAACAGACAGCAGAAAAGTTCAGCGTGGGATTCCCGTGCAAGAATTATGGAACAGCTACCGGTGTACAATTACATGTGCAACTTGTGTAAAATACGTACACCTCGCCATTTAGATCATGTTCATTGAATTTCGATATAAGGCATTCGCGGTGTAATACCAGCTAAAGAATGAATTTCCGATAAAAGACATAGTTTAATAACAGATAACTTTCTTCAAACTCCATTTTATTTCATTACTCGAATGATTCTACATACATGTATATGATTACAAGGAGAATGTGAATCTGTGTCCCCCAGCTATTTATACTTTTCCCTTCTGTCATCTGAGAGCTGTTGATCTGGCTATTCTTTCCGATTTTTTCCTTTTGTTCTCGAATGTTACTCATAAAAATACGTTAAAAATGAATAAATAATACAGAATGATAATAATGAAACGCATTAAATTTTAAAAATTCTAACCACAAATGTACTCTTGTGATTATTCAAATGATAGTGTTTGATTTTACTGAAAATAATGTATTACTTGCAATTACAGACCCCTACAGGTAACGGGGTCCCCTGGGGCGGTACAATAGAATTATAAACAATATTTCATATGATCGAAATACTTACTACACATATATAACTTCATGGGAATAGTTCTGTCTATTGCAAGTGTGAACTAGATGAAATGTTGGTCTTGATAATGTATTACTGACAAACAACTGTACATTCCTGACACATAATTGAATGACGTCACAGGTGAGACACTGCAGCAGGGGATTCGAGCCCCCGTTTGAAATTGACTTAAGACCACATTGAAGTTAATGTTTTGCATTTCGTGGATCCGCCTTTGCACACTTTTCCGAGTATTAAACTTCCTAGCATAAATCTAGAGTAATCAGTATCAAGAACACCATTATAAATACAGACGAATAACAATGTAAAGAGGAGAACAGAAAAAGTAGTTCTTTAAAATAAAAAATCTTGCAAAAGTGATCTCCCCGGCCGGGAATTGAACCCGGGTCTCCCGCGTGACAGGCGGGGATACTGACCACTATACTACCGAGGATCGCTGAGATTATGCTAACAATGAGTACACCTGCTGTAAACAGTGTGCGCGGCCGTCTGCGCAGCCAATCAACTGCCGTGGTAGTCAGCACCTGCTAAGCTGTTTATCTGGAGCATGAACGATCACGAGTAGTCTGTCTCACAGTCCCTGAAGCACATTATTTTCCCTACAGCCTAGCCCTCCCTGCAATTGCTGAAGCCCTAAATGAAGCAAGTCCAGATTTCCCCAGGTTCTGATCCTGAATCTCCCAACTCACTAAGACTCCTTTTCAATTTAAAATGGTTTATTTATTACTATCCAAATTATAATCAGGGACTAAGCCTTAGTTTAGATCACGAGGGGTGATGTTTATCACCTGTCCCATACAAGTTACTACGAAATTGAAGTCACCGATCGAGTATATTTATTACCTGCGAAGTCGTAGGTTTGTACTCCTGCACAGCGTTGCTTTCACTGTACTATACATGGACCAATATGCTACACGATACATCACAGATGAGTTGGTGAGGTGAGGTGAAATTCAGTCTAAGTAAACTTAGACTCAGTATTATTCGTTACACTACAATACTGAGTCTAACAAAACCTTGTGGAAGGTCGCGTCAGGTAACCTTTGAGCGACCTATGACCGTCCAGTCAAAGGCGAGACGGCCGAACGGATTTAACCAATCAGACAACGGCTACTATTTAGGGTTCCCGGGACTTACAAAATGGATTTTCTCGTCCCCGTTCACCAACACTGATCTCCCAATAAATGAAAATCCGCATAAAACACTGATAGTTGACCTGCAGTATATACGCTTTGGGGTTCCTGTTGACATGGTTATAATTAGCTAATATTTCCGCAAGTTGACATGCTTTAATACTGACAAAGCGCTATTTTAGCGAATGTTTACTCACTACTGTGGCGTGCATCACTAGGAACCGATCGTATGGAAAATAGCAATCGGAATCGTTCGGGTACAAACTTTTTCGAGGTAAAAGTTCAAAGAGTATGTGCGAATGTCCACTTTCGCGATTTGGTAATCTGTGTTCTGATTGGTCAATTTGAAAGATTACCTGACGCGACCTTTCACAAGGTTTTGTTAAACTCAGTATAGCAGTGTAACGAATAATACTGAGCCTAAGTTTACTTAGACTGGGTGAAATTGGGTTTAACGTCGTGCTTGAGAATATTTCGCTCATATGACGACGTGCATGCGTGTGTATATGTGCGGCTGCTTGTACTAGCCCAGACTGAAGCTGGTTTTATAGTGCTAGCCCACTGAGATACCATGCCGCAGTGAAGCATGAATACCCCTCTCAGACACATTATACTGACTCCGAGCCGACCAGTCCTTGTTGTACCCATTAATGCCGAGCGCCAGGCAGGGACCAACAAGTACCATATTTTAACGTCTTTTGGTATGACGCTGTCGGGGATGGAACCAGCAACCTTCCGCTCTCCGGGCGGACGCTCTAACCACTACACCACGGAGGCGGTCCCACAGATGAGTAACAGTCACGATGCTTGTATATATGTACTGCCTGAAAACTGCTCTGAGATAAACATAGATTTGGGTTGAGTTCAATAACATGCACTATTCCAAACGGTTAACTTTATATTCGACCAATCACTTGATATCCAAACACAAACGGATTCAGTTATAAAGAATGATTTATTCTAGCGTCTTTTTAATTTAGTTATCCTATCTTCGAATTTATGATGAATATGTCAAGATCATTTCACAGGACAATTAAGTTAATGACATGACACCAACCGATTCCTTATATCCTTATCAGAGAATATCTTTTATTGAATTTTATCAAACTTACACCGCCTGTAATTATTATGCGTAAACATGTGAACCAGGTAATTTACATGTAGGCATCAACGACAATTTAGAATGAAAATTACGTAATTGTGTAATGCACTTCAACTTCCTGTACATCATCATTCGAATATTCGTGCTGTATTTTTATTCATCAGAAAATTTGTATAAAAACATTTTAAAATCTATGTCTAACTATCATATGCTACAACGTACTGTATAATATCAATATAAAATTCCAATAGTGAAATTTAGTTTATGTCCTGTCAGCTATTTAATTCTAAATGAACTTAATATATTGTTAGTGGCGGCAAGAAAAAGGAAACTGTATCTTGTCGGGTATAAAAAAACACAGGAAAACAAATTACAACTGCCAAAATCTAGATAGAATTTCTATCGCGAATGATTTGAAATGTAAATGACATCTCCTGTAGTCGGTAACTTATATATATAGATTATAACAAACAGTTACCCCTTTCATACAATGCAACAGACTGCATAAGGTGTGTATGTTAAAGTTGCACCTTCAGAAAGGTTTGTCATAAACAGCTCTTGGAACAGTCCATCACAGGAGGGGTAGTGGGTTGACTGCGCAAGGTTTATTGTTATTGGTTGATAATACGACGAAAGAACATTATGATGGATATTTATTTGTGTGTAAATGGTCTTTTTCGACAGACTACCAAAATTGTCCTGAGAAGTCCTAAGAAAAAAATAACATTTAATTTTTTTTTTCAAAACATGCCAAACCCTGGTACTCTATACTCTGTCTACACACGTTTACACATTCACATTTCGTCTACAGATATAAAGAAGAAAGAAGAGGAAAAGAATTCAATTTTGGACTTGAACAAATGTGTTCCTGGTCCCCAAAACACATGGTGTACAGGCCTGTAAAGGACATAGGATATATTTACAGTGAATTTATCGAGGCTGGACAATGTATTGTATTTGATCGTGAGTTCTTACATCATTAGAGAGTTTAATGTATTTAGCTATGTTTCGCAAGGCAGATTTATTGGAATATCTAATCAGTGACAAAAACTAATACACACTTGGTCTAACCCAATAGAAGCATTTAATAGATAACTTTCTAAACTGTAAATATTTAGGACAAAAAAAAGACAAAATGATATTCATCTTCAACAAAGATTTTACCCTGTCTATCGCAATAATCACAAATACGGTCTTCCCTTGAAATATTACTGTATCTACCAATTTCTATCATAAGGCGATGAGTAGATGTGATTAATTTGCGTGATTAATTTCCTGTCACTGGGAGTTTAAACTAGATCCAAATACAATTCAAAACCAAATTTTTCTCAAAATGGTTGTAAATAAATAATTTACCATTTGACTCTAAGTCAGATCTCCATTTCTGAATATATATATCGATGAGGCGTTGCTTAACTTTACAAAATTTATCAACATTTACAATTGGAAATTCCCAAACTTGCCCAAAACGAAGTAAAATTACTTGTAGTAAAACTACGACAGTAATGTTATGTTGTTCGAGTCCAGTGTGTAGTGTCCATCACTAGTATTACGTAAAGTTTACTAGTTTACTCAGTCTCCCGTATATCTGTATTTTAACACCGCATTGAAACCGGCCGCGAAACATTCAAGTGGGTCCCTTATATTCATTACTGCTATTTATTGACGCTTGAACTGATAACCGACCTCTAATGTCCAACTGTGTCTCATGTAATCGCCACAACAAACACTCGCTACAAGACGCTAAGGCCCAGTGTCATAAAAACACAACTTTGAAATTGCCGAACAGATTATGAACTGACAAGCCGTGAGAAGTACCTCCACGGAAGTATGTGTACATATTGGGTGTAACTGAGACCCACTTGTTGTGATGTTGATAGTTGTCCCTAGCCTTAATTGTGGGATATGTCAGGATGTACATGATTTATAACTTGTGTTAATAGTGTGTCTAAACACATATGTGGATCATCATTCACCTACAAACAAGAAACTCCAAAGATTTTTTTCCCTAAATAAAAAGAACAAGAATGTAAATTCACCCCAAAGACAAAAAGAAAAAATTAAAAAAAGAAAGAAATTAAAACGTCTATTATTAATGTTGTATATAAATAAATAGAAAGTAAAAGAAATATAGAAAAGCAATAATTACCCTACTCTAACCCCACCCCCACCCCCACCCCCTTTTCAACGTCTATTATTAATGTTGTATATAAATAAAATAGAAAGTAAAAGAAATATAGAAAAGCAATAATTACCCTACTCTAACCCCACCCCCACCCCCACCCCCTTTTCAACATAAAAGAATAAGATATTCAAACAGTAAAACCTTTAACAAATTAAACAAAACGAAGAAGAGTTTATCTCCGATATTGTGTCTATAATTAAGGATTTTCTCTTACAGGATTTAAATGATCCTGCGTTTGTCAAACCATCCTATGTTGGGGAGTTACACCAAAGTACAAAAAAGACCTTCTTCACTTAGGGCTGTTCATCTCACATAAAGTCAGCCCGTTATATATGTGATGTGCTATTCAAACCGCCGTTAACTGAACTAGCTGTTTTGAGGTAAGCACCTAATAAAATCCTATGGTTACTTTTAAATACGGTCACTGGGATAAAGACCCGTTATTAGCGTGATTTGACAAGTGTACACCTTAATGCACCACACAATGCATATATAACTGTAACTGTGTGTGATATATACCTCCCCAACTGCGTCGGTACCCGCACTGGAATGTACTGTTATCTGATGTCGGTAGTCATGGGTGCATTTAAACTAATCCCACCTACAGTAGATATTGTTAGGGTGGGCTTAAAGAGTCACACTTCAAACGAATCTGGATTTCCAGTCGTAGCATATCTGATAGTGTATCCGACTACACGGAAATCTCACTTGCAATTGTAACAAGTGTAACTGCACGTTTTACATTTGAATGATTGTTTCACACTTAAACAAAAACCTAAATTTTACTCACTATTAGGCTTAGTTGACCCTCAAGGGACAATTAAATGGCAAATCTAAACGCAAAAAGAACGAAAACTGCAGCTTATTCAGAGAAGCAAGGCACAAAATTGACTCATTTTGTAGTGCTGATAACTGTGGTAGTATAACGTTAAAAGAGCAGATATTCTCAAGATTCTGGCATACATTCCTAAAGAAATCACACAAGAATCAATAACCTAACACATAGTCAACATCTGATGTAGCCTCCGCCAACTGCAATAACAGTCCTGACTCTCCTCATTGACTATATCAGGCATTGGATTTGAAGTTAAGGTATGGCGTTCTATTCTTGATGGAAGGCTTGTTCTAACACATCAAGATTTTTTATTTAATGCAACCAATAATGTGTAAAACATGTTCCATGGTGTTGAAATCTGGACTCCTGGTGGGCCAAGGTAGAATTACTACCTCCCCTTGACGTAAGAGATCACCAAAGGCACGTGGCCTTGCATTCTGGTCCATGATAACTGACTGGCGTTGTGTTCCGAGGATGGTCATCGGAATGTGACCCGTGCCTGATCGTCACAAGGTCAAGTTTACATTCACGTGAGTACATTCCACACCATCAATGAATCATGGGTGTTGCAAAACTTTTTCCCATGTAAATATTAACATTCAATATTTCAGCAATATGGCGTGGGACACATGAACTGGTTTCACATATCAACTCATGTACCGAAGAAAGTACACAACTGGGGTTTGGGGAACACGTGCACAATGTTTGTGACTTGAAAGACACAACCAAAACACGTCGTTCCTGAGAAAGTAGTCCCACAGCATAAGGTATGTACTTTCTTTTGTACTTAGTTTATTGCGGGTAATCGAGCCCAGGGCTTCAGCTTTATGGCCGAAGGCTTTAACAAACACTTAAATGACTGTATGCATTGTAACGTAATCTTTATTCAACAAATTACAAATAATGTAAATGTACGTAAGTAAAAGATTAATAACTAAGATTTAAAAGTATAAATATATGTATATGACACCTACGGTTAGTCTATAATGTGAAAAGATCTCAAAATACGAAAATCCTTGAGATCTGTCACAATTGTTCTCAATTATGTCCAATCAAATATGTATCAGCTTTATCAGCAATATGTACAGCAACACGGCCGGGCTAGATGTTTCTGGTTCTATTTCCGGAAAGAAAAGTCCGCATGACTCGTACGAAGGGGGCAGAGCAATGTGGCGGCACCTAATGTGGAATTAAATTTGAACAATTTGGGCTCAAAACTCTCTGTGCCATATCCACAGTTACCATGGAAACCGTTTCATTTCTTCCCGAAAGCCATGAACAGCATCCCACAGGACTCGCACCAGGGATCCAGAACGCAGTGCACACACATGCCGTACAGCTTCTTCAGACAGCCACAGTTGAGCTCCATTACCTTGAAGCAGGGTGTGATGTACCAAATGTGAGTGAAGGCGATCAACGCAAACTCACAGCCCCAGTACAGAGCGATACAGATGCCACACAACAGTGTCATGATTTTGTAGAGACATCCTTTACAGCAACTGAAGCATGTGTAGGATGCGCTCCACACACAGTCGATGCTTCGAGCTCCCTCTGGCTCAGCAAGGACATCCTCGAAGGAAACCTGATTAAAACGGAAAACAATACATGTACTGGCATTTAGAGGTTGGTGTGATGAACAACTTGGAGAGTTCTATGGATATAAAACTTAAAATATAGAAGTTGTATATCCAAAGAACTTTCCCCGTTGTACTGAGATTCTCAAAACGGAGGGTCGGTGGTTTGATTGCCAAGCTGTATCATTGTAAAGATGTCAATTGTTTTTCTCATCCCGATCGGCATTAACAATATACAAGGATTGGAGTCAGTGTAATGTGTCTGAGTAGGATATCCATGTAACTCCAGTGTGTTATCTCTGAGGGCAACATAATTAACCCGGACTAGTACAAGTACTACCACATATTTAAAGCATGCACGTTTCAGTATAGGTGAAAACTACATTTCAATGTACTGCATAAGCAGTTGTAGCTGAGATTACTTATTGGACAGCTAACGCAAGAAGTGTATGAACTTAACATTTCTCAATGGCTTGTGAAATTGGCCTTTGTATATAATCCATATATTCTAACAGTATGGTACCATTAGGTCTCAAGAAAACATTAACCCTTTACAAACATTAATGTCAATTCAGACACTTGGATAAATATCCAGGCATAATGACATTAACATGAAAGACATAGCGCTCTTAAGTATTTTTATGTATCAAAGATTTACACAGACATGATTCTCGAGTTTCAGGTGTATGATGTTTCCGTGTCAGTTCCAGTAATGATTCAAGAAATTACCTTAATATGGTCGTTGATGTTGTTAGGATCACGATTCAGTAGATCAACCATCGTGTCGTTCCGGTGGGAGCTAGTGGCCCTTTACTGCAGGAGTCAGTTGCACACCATGCAGGGTTGTAACATTGAGTACCTACTGTAGCTTAGCAATAGAACAACAGTGCTTGTACCATGTCGGAACTTGAACTTACGTAGATGCTAAATCTATTTGGCTTAGTTTCAGATTCGTATCAAGTGGTTCCTTTGAGTACAAGCCCGTATCTCAACCGGCCACTTAAATCACATTCGTGTAGTAAGAGATAAGGTAGATATTACTGGTTTATTGACAGCACATACCTTGTGCGCATGTCAAATGTCATTGTGTTGAAATAAATTGAAACACGTAGGTGACCTGGACGACAAATAGGAAACGCATTTACCACGATAAACCCATCATTCTGTGTGTAAGGCATTGCCACCCAGTTCAACACCAAATAAATACTTTTTGTCTTTACCTTGATTGGCAGCGGGCGGCGAGCTCGCCTGAAGACCGAACCGGTCACTTGCGCCAAAGGCTCGGATTAGATTTCCTTCATGGATACAATTTCAGGTGTCTCCGGCATTGATATACCTGGAAGAGGCTAAACGCGGCGTAAAATCACACTCTCTCCATGACCATAACTTGTATGTTGTTCAGGTAACACAGACTCACAGGGAACACACACAATCACACACTTACACAGAAAATGGTGCATCACACATACCTGCTCACATACCTACGAAGGCACATACACACAGAGACACACACTGACACACACACACACACACACACACACACACACACACACACACACACACACACACACACTGACACACACACAAAAGAAGAATGAGCAAATTGCATCCATTTCTAAGAAATTGTCTTCAGAAATAAGTCGTGAGACATGTCTGTCTTCATCACTTTCTAAATGCATATAATATAATGCCAAATGCATCACAGCAAGGATCTACTGCACAATGCACACCCACTCCGTATATCTTCTGTAGGCAGCTACAGTTAAGCTCCAATATGTTGCAATAAAGGGATATAAACCAAATGTGGGTAAATCTAACCCAAGCGAACTCACAGCCCCAGTCCATGGCAATGCATAAACCACAAAACAGTGTCCGGAGCTTGTGTAGGTGCCTGTTACACAGGAAAACACAGGTAGGAGAAGCTCCATACACACAAGGAGCTGTAAGAACCAGGCTCAGCGCAGAAGTCCGTAACGTTACCTGAATGCAAAGGAATTAATCAAAACAGCAAGCAAAATGCAATGCATCTTCACTGTCAAAATCTTCACTAAAGCTTTACATTTAACACTGAGCTCAGGGGGACATTGACAGACATTGGATTTCTTGGCTGTAACATTGTTGAGGCGCCAGTACGCATCTTTATGTCCAGATTTCATAATTAAAACAATACCCACTCTTTCAGTTTACTATAGAACACACGCGACCGTGATTTAGCATAGTCGCTGAATGTCTCCTCGTCAGTGGATTGTGTGCGTCGTAAAACACTTATCCCGTTTGACAAGTTGAAGTTGTTTGGCGTCAGGGGAAAATATAGAACAAATCCATTCCACCCATTCACTCACCCATCCATCTATATCCATTTAGCCAGCCAGCCAGCCACCCACCCACACATCCATCTATCCATCCATCCATCCATCCATCCAATCCATCCTTCCATTCACCCATCCATCCATTAACGTTAACCGTCAGGTGCCTTAAAGTTAAACTGAAATTGTTACAGGCAATCATTTGAAGTTCAACGTAAAATAGATGCCCTAGATTTTTATGCATAACGTGAATTTACCTGCACTTTGCCATTCTTCCAATTTGCTATCACTGTATTCTGACTCTTACCTTGACATGATGTTGTTGTCCCGGTCTAAACTAGCGTCCATTCTGAAGGTGTAAAAGGAAGATCTGTTTTTAAGGAACTGTAAATGATTCTATGAAGGAGCCGACGCTTGTATAACCAAGGCCTATATCTGAAGCGGATAACATGCTGAGATATGTAGTCGGGGTGTTGGACGGCAACCTCGAAGATGTTATTCTCATTTAGAAATGAAAACATCTCGAACCAGCACAGGAGGGTCTTGCTATCTACAGGCGAATGTCATTACCTCCTCCAAGCCTTGTCAACAACATTTATGTCCTTTCCATCTCAATGAGGAGTCGTAAATATAACACTTAAGTGGGTAGTAAATAGTTGGACTTGACGGTAATATTTGTGATGTGTATGACAGGGTTATTTCATCAGTAGTCAAATTGAGGATATCATTAGTAACAATGTGATTTTGTAAATTTGATTCAACACAACTTTCTGGAAATAAACTTTTGGAATTGTTGCGTGTTGTGAAACATCATTGGTAGAGCTTCTTTGGATATGTCTGTAATCAGCAGGTAATCCATTAAGGCCCATGTGTTAATTTCTTAGGTTACGGATGTCTTTTCAAAAACTGACAATAAGAAATCATGCTTATTAAGAACATATATTTTAATTGCAAGTGAAGAATTTACTTCCCTATTCACATTGGATCAATTCAAATGGTGTATATGTTGTTCTAGAAAGCGACTTACCTATCTGACTCGGGGGAAAGAATACAATCTGTACATCAAATGTTAATGTTATTCGAGGATGCTTAGAAATTGTCTTCGTTTTGCTTGTTGTTTAATGCCGCACCTGGAAACGTGTGCACCAGTCGCATGCGCCTGGACAGCCGCTTAGTTGTTTACGTGCGCTTCATACACACAACGCAGACACAGGTATTTTACAGTTTCTTCATAATTTATTCAGTCTGATAGAGTGGCATTCTTTAATTAAATGCAGTATGGATACCCACGGCAGCAAATACACGTAGTCATTATCTTCAGAATCTATCAAAATGATTAGTTATGAGGTTTAGGTTATTTCAGTGAATGAATATATCGTTGTTTACTTTACTTAATCAAAATTGAATAATGTCATCAAAACTGACAAATAACGCGCAGAATCCGATCTACGAAATCAGTAATCCATGGCAATGGGATCAGCCTGGCACCACTATTGATTTCAACCAGTATTTAACACAAATTGAATGATATCTAACGCGTAACGGATGACTACCACATTGAAGAAAGACTGCAACATAAGTAATCTTTTTGAGAACGTTCAGAAGAAACTTACAAATTGACTTTTTCTATAGTTCTAATTTCTATTTCTTTCAACTTTCTCCACTTCACCACAAATCAGCATTGATACACGTTTCATTTCAATCTTTCAAATGAATCAGTTGGAGGTATGCCATATTTTCTTAAACGGGATTCGGTTGCAAAATGTGTTTGTTCAGGAAACGCTATAGAAGCTATTTGTGAGAGAAATCTATATATAATCACGAAATAATTGCAAGTGACTAGCATTTCAACGTCCGTCTAAAGACCTTGGGGAAAGTCGTATTGTTTCAGCTATTATGCCATATACAGTATAAAGGATATAAGTCAAAGATGGCATCCGCAGCTTGAGCAAGATCTATGAGAAATGTTGAGAAAAGGAAGGGAATAAGTATACAAACTTGTCTAACACCGGTAGAACAATAGAAACAGATAGATAATTTGCTCAAAGGTTCATTAACAACAGCCGACCTACTATTATCATGAAAACTGAAGCACGCCGAAAATCATTCCAAGTATACGTATTATATCTCTCTCAAAAAAGGGACAACAACTTTATACTATTAACCATGGCATTTGATTTCGTAATATTACGAACGCATTTGGTGTGTTTTTTAATCATACATCCTTAATAAATATATTATCCAGAGCTGTTCGTGTTTTTAGGTATACATATACTAAGTTTTTTTTATAGTGAGTGTCGTGTGTAAAAGCCATAACGATTATGTCGGAAGTTCTTCGCATTTACACGTAGTTCAATATTAATCAAATGAAAAATCACACAATCGAGTCTGCCTGAACACTGGCACAACTCATCTTTCCTTACAGTACAGGGCCTTCTGGAAGCTGTTCCCGAAACATTGTTTTTTAGAAGCCATCTTGTGGGCACATGTATTAACCATGTTTCTCTTTCTGTATCACAATATATTTGAACACATGGAAGTTTTTTTACTAACCAAGCATATCCATGTATTTCAGCATGAGAGAACTGAAACAACTATATTGCTGTGTTTATGCTTAAAATACGAGCTCGTAGGCTATAAGTTATAACGACAAAAGAGGTTTGCCTGGAGACCCAATAGAATGAAAATAATAACTGACCAGCACATTATTCAAGTCTGTGAATACACCAATCGCCCTGGAGCCACACTAGCACGTAAAGCAGGGAAAAGCATCCTGTGACGGACACCATATGCACGTGATACATGATAACCACAGTTTCCTCCGTTCTGAGGAGGTGACGGCAACCACTCTACGAAATGAACTGCGGAATGCCACTGCATTGAACGTTTCCACTCAGACTATCCGTAATCGTCTTCGGGAGGCTCGTCTTCGGACAAGGAGGGCATTCATTCGCACCCCTCTTACCCGGCGTCACCGGTTTGGAGTGTCTAATGGACAGTCAATGATTGGGCATCCGTACACTTCACAGACAATTCAAGGTACTGTGTGGACTTCACCGAGCGACGGGCACGGATGTGGCGAAGCGCAGCGGGGCGATTTCATGATGTTAACGTAGCCGCACATGACTGATGGGGGAGCTGGCTCATTAATGGTTTGGGAAGGTATCAGCAGGGATGGGAGTACTGTTCTCCATGTGATAGTGAGTGCCATGATGACAGGTGTGCGTTACAGGGATGAGATCCTGGGTGTGATTGATCCTGTTTGCTAGTGCAGTTGGTCCTGACTTCATCCTCATGGACGATGATGCACGACCTCATCGTGCCAAGGTGGTTGATGCTGTACCTTAAGCAAGAGACAATTATCTGTATGGAGTGGCCAGCTCGTTCACCGGACCTCAACCCGATGGAACACATTTGGAACATGCTTCAGGTTTCCATCTCACGTCGTCCTGTGTATCCAGGTCCTCTCCAAGAACTTGGAATTGCTCTCCGCCATGAGTGGAACAATCTTCTTTTGGCGTGAGAAGACGGTGCCAGTCTGTAACCGCATGTCATGGATCCCATAACCGCTATTGACAGCTGTTGTGTCGTGATCAATGACTTGATCCGTGATTTGGAGATTGTTGGTTGCTGTCATAATCACCTTGTGTATGAAATCTCGTGTTAGTGTGGCCTCTTCATCAACACTTGACAACAATTT